CTGGAATCCAAGCTTCTCTTTAATAATGCATTCATGAACTCTATAGTGCAACAACAACAACAACCCTAAAACGTTAACCATAAATAACATTTTTTCCTCTNATCGGGTTGCCTACAAAGGAGGAGACGACTGTACGGAGTTTATACTGTTTGGTGCCTTTTATTCATGATTCTCTGCAACTGTAAACTTGTTAGTTTCTTAGTCAAATCATTAAATAAGCCATTAGATAACTATATTTAAGGCATAATACATAATTTAACCTTGTATCTTCTCATTTTAAAAGTTTCTGGTCGTCTTTACAGTCTTATTCTTTGTGTATGTACTGCACTCTTCTGAGAGAGAATGTCGGCATTGAGACCCAATGATAAAAAGGTGAAACTATAATTCACAATATGTATTGGTTGATTTTCAACTTATATTTTGTCCTGGCCTATAAATTTTTAACCAGGTCATTTAATTTTTGTCCAGATCTTTAAATTTTCCGTTATTTTTATTATTGTTGACGGAGTTGACGTCTTTTAATATTTTGTCCAGGTTTTTTAAAACTTTTAAATCAAACTAACAAGTCAAAACAGAGAAGGGTATGGGGGGGACGTGCCCTTCAACGGAAAATTGGGGGTATGCCCCCCCCCCCCCCTGTAAAAATGTAGGGCATTATCGCATAACTGAAGAAAGGATTTGACTATAAGTTCCTTTATTCGATCTTTGCAGAATGGATTTTTTAAAAATTTTCCCACGGCGGCGCCACTTGTTTCTTCTAAGCTAAATTTTAAAAGTATGGCACCTCATTTACCCCTCCCGCCCCTGACCAAGTCGGGATTTTTTAAAAATTTCCTTATAGACATCCTGAGGGGGAGAATTTTTTTCTGCCACGGGGCTTGATAAATCTTTCAATTATTTGCTCCTCCCTGGAAAATATCGTAACCTACCCATGCACAGTGGGGTATTAGGGGAGGGTCAGCCAAAAAGAATTTATTTCATAAACCTCTTATTTATGTCAAATAAGGATTTGGGGTGCTACTGGAGCCCCTAAATCTTTTCTATATGCTGTTAGAATCTATTTATATATTTAGATTATCCCGAAACCCTTGTGCTTGTGCTTTTATACTATGGAATAAAAATATATGTTTTTCTTCCGAAATACTCGCTGTAACAAAGACGACATCTAGTCATATTGCGGGATTACAGGATCCATTCAAGGGTAAATATATGAACGGGAAAAGTATTTATAAATTGAAATCATTGAAAATCAATGTTAGCTACAATTCAAACAATGTCTGTAAAGGAAAAGATTATAAGAATTTATTCATTTTCTCCATTCTCGGCATGAAACACAAGACAAATGCATTTTAAGAGGAGTATTGATTATGGTTTNTAATGGGATCGAAAGTGACTTGGATTAACTCAGCGTGTTTGAGGTCCCTTAGTCTTAATCTTTTTTTGAAAATAAAAGACATGCCTAAGAAATATAATATATATGTCCTTTTATAACTTGATTTTTTGCACAATTTTACAAGAATATAACATTTCGTGTTTCTATCAAATTACTTTTTAATATCTTTTAAATTTTTTAGAAATTTAACTTGTGTTTTAGAGAAATTGCATGCAATAGACTACCTTGATTTCACATCTGTAGTGTGTATATAAACTACCTAGAAGTAAAACAGGAAGGGGGGGGGGGTTGACTTTTTAGCAAAGTCATATACCAATTCATAACTTTGCTAGGAATGAAATCTTTGAACCAGTACAATAAGCAAGGACGGATTCGGGGGGGAACATATGTACCGATTTCCTGCAGGTAGTAAGGTAGGTTGAGAAGAGGCTTGTTGCACCCCTGCCCCCTAGGTAGGTTGAGAAGGGGGTTTTTGCACCCCTGCCCCCTAGGTAGGTTGAGAAGGGTGTTGTTGCACCCCTGCCCCCTAGGTAGGTTGAGAAGGGGGTTGTTGCACCCCTGCCCCCTAGGTAGGTCGAGAAGGGGGTTGTTGCACCCCTGCCCCCTGCATTAATCAATTCCAGGAGGAATTAAACTTAGAAAGTTAAAAAATTTATTTATCAAACTTGATACTTCCTTTGCACGAAAATAAGGAATTTTTTGTTTTTACAAACTACGCATCCGAAATTTTGTTAAATTTTTCCATAATTTTTATCGCTTATAAAAAAAGATTTGTTGAAAAATCGTCAAAAAAATACGATAACAGTCAGGCAAAAAAAAGATATTACTGAGAATCTGAAATATTCAAATGTCCTAGTAAGTGTAAAATCGCCAAAGAACATATTTCTTGCCCAAAATTGGGTCAAATAATAAAAGAAAATAGATTCTGAACCATTGTTCAATATGAATATAAATGAGAATGATTCTTGTTTCAGAGAATCTTCAACGTTTATTGAAAATTTATATAATTTATAAGAAAAATAATGAAAATTCTAACAAAGCATTTTTCGTCAAAATAAGATTATTGAAAATAAAAATTTAATCAGCAAACTTAAACGAGGTAACGTGCCTTTTAATCCTTATTTTACCCCCCCCCCCCGTTCAACTATGTTTTAAAAATGTGTAAGCGTATTTTCAGTGCCCAATTCACAACGGTACCCTTAAAACCTTCGGCTGATCAATGTTGTCAGACTTATTCTCATTAATCTACAAAACGCGATTAATTATTGAACGTTTGTTTGAAAGTTGTTTTAAGTTTTAACAATAATTACATTCACTTTCTAGAATTGACAAAAAAAAAATTTGAATGTAAAATATTCGGTAATGTCAATTTACACAAGTAGAGCATCCACTGTACACAGCGTACACTGCGTTTTACAGGAATAAAACAAAGAGTTCTCTTTACTCGATGAACAGTCAAAGATTTCAAGGGTACCGTTGTAAATCAGCCATTACCCTCTTTACACGGAGGGTCACTTGAAATTACGCTTACAGTCCCTTAAAGGGACTGTAAAGAAAAAATGAGAGGGGGTATATACCCGTTTTGGTATAATTTTGACACAGTTTTATATAAATTTCTCGAGACAGGAACATCAGATATATGTCATATATGGTATAGTTCAAAACCTGAGAACCTCAAGTTTCATCCTATACCCCCTTTCATTTTTCCTTTACAGTCCCTTTAAATTACTTGTGCATGTCTTCATCAAGCTGACATGACAGGACATGACTCTATCAATATAATAAAGCTAAATAAGAGACTGTTCAATGTTAAGGATCCGGATCAATGGATTATGATTTTTCCTTAGTTGGCTGGACAGTCATTTATATGGGTTCCACTCTCTTGGGTATAACAACGTTTTTAACCATTTTCTCCCATACATATATATATATATATATATACGCAACAGATATAGAAGTAAAATTAGTAGCGATCAAAACCGAATTCAATTCGGGATCAGCCTGTATCCTCTTCATTTTTCACGAACACTCCCTTAAATTTAGATTAAATTTTCTCTCAGAAAGAGGTTTATGTTTGGATCTTTTTAATAATTTTTATAAACTTAGAAATTCGATAAAATGTTGATCTGATTTCCATTAAATTTTCTAATCCCTATATCTTTTCAGACTGATATTTGATATTTCACAAAATTAATAGTTTGAATTTGGTTAGGTTTTTAGGTTAAGAACAAAATAAACTAAAACCTTACTGATGCCAAAAAAATATATCAGAATTGTGTATTATAAAACAACGGGATTGGAAGACGACATTTTAATTTGTAGAGTTATCGGAAACAAGAGAATAATTGTTGGAAAGGAATTGAGTCTTTGCTACAAACTCAAACGTTCTAATCCCCATATCTTTTCAACCTAAAAGTCTAAACCTTTGATAATTCAAACCTAGATTATTTGATCTACACAAGATAAACTAGAGAAAATGTACGTAAGATTGAAATATTAAATGTTTTCAATCATAACTCCTTTTATTAAAAAGATGTTGAGAAGAAAAAAATATTTTTAATTTATAATATGTAACCAGAGTAGAAAACTTTAGAATGGTGGATATCGAGATCAATGTTTGATTCTCTCTTTTTGCTAATCTCAAGACTAATTTAGTCTCTAGATTAATTTCTAGAGATTAGAGATGCGCTATCCAACTTTTGAAAACCCGGTTTTTTAATCTTCCCGCATTGTGGTGTCATATCATTTGGACTAATTGAAAAATTGCAATAAGAATATTCGCAATTTTCATTTCTGGTGTAATTTTTTGAAGGAAAAGTTGTTTTCAATGGCTCCTCAATTTTAAACTGAACAGCGTATATTTATAACTTAAAAATTAAACCAGAGAACTGAAAATTGCCAATTTTCTTATTACGATTTTGCTAATTTTTTGTGATTCTGTAATTCAATCTTATATTTTGATTTTAGCATTTGATAGAAATAATATATACATAGTAAAACAAAACAAAAAACAAAAAATTCGCGGATTTAAAAATAAATTTCGTGGATTTTCAAAATTTTCGAAATCGAATTTTGTTAAGATGAAATTTTTGAAAATTCATTCATCCATAAACCTTACTTGGGGTTACGCGAGGTCCCACAACAAATTTGGGCCCGATCGGTTCAACCGTTTTGACTTTATTGGATACAAACAAACAAACAGACACCCAGACAAGCATAGTATATATATTTAGATAGAAATAAAGTAATCTCTGTATGGGGTTTGGTATGTTTTTTAAGGGTTCATAATTCATAAACCCTTTGGCCGATTTGCCTCAAATATTAATTGGGAAAGTAGGTAGAACCACGGGAATCATCTTGGTTTCAAAATTGTATGTTGAGTAGGTTGACTTTTATAAAGAAAATTTGCCAGGCAAAGCTGGGTTCTCATGCTAGTGTCTCTTTTGCATTGTACATCGTAGAATATAGAGATCCATAATAATATAAACTTTTATTTAATATAATACAGTGTTAGTAAATGACTTTTGATTAAAATAATAAATTTTTTTATCATGTTTCTCTTTCTTAGAGAGGATTGTATGCCTTCTTTAAAGTTAATGTTAATAAATAAGTATTTCATGAATTTTTATTTTCAACATATCTGTGCAGCGATTGCAATTAACAGCTGTAGAATCGGAAGACGACTGTTAGACTATACTTATGACTTTAAAAAGTCCAATTCACACCTAGATACATTATAATAGATTGTTCACGCAGACTGCAGTGCAGACTGTAAAGCTGAAAATTGTACATCATGAACTCGTCATACAAGAAGGTCAGTGAATACGTTTTACTTATTGCTCTTGGGTTCAATCTGTAGAAAACAATTTTTAACTGGTCAGTATCTTGTCATTCTGAATGGTGTGAATTACACGAATTACTGGTCCTCTAAACAAAACAAAACACCCCATGAACTGAGTGTAACAATACTTGCCGCAACTCTTTTTATTCAATTTACTATATGGACGTAGATACTAGTACAAAGCTAAGTTTACATTTTTAATATCAGCTGAAACACTCCGGTATGGTGAAGACGACATGAGCTGTCTAGTCTAATTTACCTAGGAATTCACATAAAAATACAGCAATTGTTCTTTTTCCACAAATTATTTTACTTAAAAATTTGGTTTTAAAGCAACTGGTAAAACTACTTGCTTTATAACAGCATCAACTACTTCTAAATATCGTCTTCCATAGTTTTATGGATAAAACTGTGTAGAATGAGACTGGCGGAAATAAAGAAAATGCTTACTTAATTGGACCGTGGGTTCGAACTATTTTTCGAAGAAAAACAATAATGTTTTTTGATCATGTTTCTCAGAAACTAAGTAAATTATAAATAAGGCATATACTATTTAATAAGATTTGTATTTCCTTTAAGGAAGATGATAACTGATGGCTAGGGTTCTGATAAAATTTTAAAAATAATTTCGAAATATTTTTTACAAAAGTTGTTTACGAAAGTGAATCATTTTTGACCGAATTTCTCTGAACTTTCCCAGTTTTCCGATTATTCCTCTCATTTTTCATGTTTTCAATGATTAAAGTATTGTTACACAGACCATTTTCCTGATTTTTCTTTTCCCTAGACATTTTTTTCTCTTCCGTAAGTGGTGAACGTTTTTTTCCGTTTTTATCCTCAAGCGGCGAATTTTTTCTCCCGTTTTTATCCTCAAGCGGCGAACTTTTTCTTCTAGTTTGTTCATCCGACGGTGAGACATTATCGTTCTTCTCATCATTTTCTTCTTTTGCAGCTAATCTATGCTTTTCTGTGACGAATTCCGACATTTTTCTATTCTTTTCAGATAGTTCTGAGAGTTTTCTCACCACGCCTGTTTGGGTGGAAACAGCGGATACCTTTCTTTGACCGTGGACAGGACAGTCACCAGCTAGAATATAATAAAGATTATTTTTAGACGATTTTTTAAAATACAAGACATAAGGCAAAATATGCCACAAAGTTAGAGAAATCAAACGTTTTTCTAATTGAGAAAAATTAGCACTGTTTTTTCATGATTGCATTTTTAGAAGTTAATCCTTCTCTTTTGTAGTTCTATTACGGTTTTTTATAAACCAGTGCAACACAAATTTCTGAAGTGCATGAGATCAATTTCATAGTTTCATTGTCTCAACTCTCAAGTTGTTTTTATAAACATGGAATTAACATCGATCACTTTGTATTAAACTTTTGAATGATAAAATAATAATTATCATAATAATAATATAATAACAATAATGATATTAATAATAATAATAATTGTAATAATATCGATAACAACAATGATAATGATAACAATAATGATAATAAAAAATTAACTATTTACCCTTTACCTCGTGTGATATTGTAGAGGTTTCATGCATCTGCATTCGGTGCAAACAATACAAACAAAAAACATTGCTTACTAAACTAATTTATTTTCAAAATTATTGTTCCTATATGATAATATTCTAAGTAAATTAATAACAGCAAGAGCAATTTTAATGGTATAAATCAACATCAAAAGTTTATAAGAAGTTTTATATTTCATCATTTTAAAATCTACTATCAGTTCTGCTGCATTTTCCTCTTTTTCTTGATATGAACATTACTCTGCAACTTTTTTACTGTTTCAGTCTAGAACTATATTTGTGTCGAACATGAACTTGTTTTGTTAAAACTTTCAATTTTTTTAGACTTTTAAAATTAATGTTTAAAAGTTTTCCTCTGTACAATTTGAGAAGACAAATGCTAAAAACGAAACCTTTTCCATAGGATATAAATTTTTCATAGTTTGATAAAAGAAAATCATTACAGAATACAGTTTTCAAATGTTGGAACCTTCATTTTTGTAGAACCGTATTTTGTGATGCCAAAAATCTGAAAGTCTTATAAAAATTAACCAAGTTATTTCCAATAACTTTTTGGGGTCTAAACATCTATAAATCTACAAATCACTGATAATGGTCTGCATGCTGTATACAGTAAAACACAAAAAGTGTTTATCAAAAAGCTTTGCTTAGATAACGATATTTAAAAAAGAATTTCTATTGCTAAGAACATATTATTTTAATCTCCTGGAGGATTTGAGTTTTTGCCAGAAAAGGAAATTTTCACATCCATATCATTGCAACCTAATGGTGGAAACCTTTAACATTTCAAAATTAGATATTTAATCTAACAGAATTCATATTTCGAAGTTCCAAGGTTAACAACATTTGCAAAGATTAACAGCTGAATTCAAATGCCCTGAGTAAATCAAAAAAATATGAATAAATGATAAAATATTTATTGAAATGAAATACAGAAAATTAAATTTAAATAAGATTTTTACTTATAAAGCTTTTTTATTGCAGATTGATTTGAAGGAACTGAACTTGTCTCAAACTCTAATTTTCGAATTCCTATATCTTTGCAACCTGAGGGTGTAAACATTCGAATATTCAAACTTTTAGCAAATATTAAAGGTCTGTGACATGTATGTACATCCGCTAACATGAAAGTATTAGGAGTTTGAAGCAAGTTATCAGTTCCTTTTTAAATGCTCTTTTTTCCAAAATAGCACATGTGACATAACATATTAAATAACACAGCATTAATTATGGCACTTGATTTAAAAAAGGAAGAATGGAATAGGAAGGATGGAATAGGATGGAATAGGAAGGATGGGAAAGGAAGGATGGGATGAATAGTAAGGGTGGATAGGAAGGATTGATCAGTGAAGAAAGAAAACTGGAAGACTGTAAACTAAGTATGAAATGTTAAAGGGATTGTGAATGGAAAGAGTGTGAAAGAATCACATGACACCCTATAAAACTTTATCTAGGCATCGATAGTCGAGTTAACGAGTTATTTAATTTTTTAACTTGTAAGGCTTACTCTTATACAAAGCGACAATGAAAAATGCAGTAATTAAAGTCAAACGAGAACTGTTGTGAAACAAATATGTGAATATTTAGTATACTCTATCATTTCTCTTTAATAGAGTTTCAAGCTAATACTCTAGTTTCGCCTCTCTGTCAGGTTCACGTTGAGAGTACTTGTATACTTCAGAGGTTCTAACTCCATCCGTCCTAAACCCATCACATCAAATATAAACCAAGTCCGCCTTAAACCCATCAAATCAAATAAAAAACGATTCCGTCCCAAACCCTTCACATCAAATAAAAACCAATTCCGTCTTAAACCCATCACATCAAATATAAACCAAATCCGTCCTAAATCCATCACATCAAATTAAAACTAATTCCGTCTTTAACCCATCACATCAAATATAAACCAATTCCGTCCCAAACCCATCAAATCAAATAAAAACCAATTCCGTCTTTAACCCATCACATCAAATAAAAACCAATTCCGTCCTAAACTCATCACATCAAATAAAAACCAATTCTGTCTTAAACCCATCACATCAAATATAAACCAATTCCGTCCTAAACCCATCACATCAAATAAAAACCAATTCTGTCTTAAACCCATCAAATCAAATAAAACCAATTCCGTCCCAAACCCATCACATCAAATATAAACCAATTCCGTCTCAAACCCATCACATCAAATATAAACCAATTCCGTCTTAAACCTATCAAATCAAATAAAAACCAATTCCGTCCCAAACCCATCAAATTCCGAAACCTTTAATTTTATAGATATTGTTTAGTTATGAGGATATGAGGATTTAAATGTATACCGAGTCTCATTCCTTGAATATAGTCATTAGACAGCATTGCAGATTATCTTAATCAATAACTTCGCACTCAGGTTTAATGATAACAATAACAGTGGAACAGTGGAATCGATAAACGTACAGTTTTATAAAACTGTGGAAAACTACGACGACATTTAAGTAAGCTACTTGTCTTTGATGTTTTCTAAAGCAAATAGTTAAAATAAAAACAACTTTCTTACAATGCCGAATCTTATCCAATGTCTAAAATATTATAGAGTTATTTAACAATTTCGGATTTGTAACATATACACCTAGCTCTAACTATAAGGCAAGACATCCTCAATCCTCATATCTTTATAACAGTTCAAATCCTTATAATAATCTCCCCAAACTCTAAGTTTCTAATCCTTATTTCATTGAATCCGCCAAGGGATATTTCAAACCGTATATTCTGAATAGATCAAATCCTTAAAGTTTGAAATATCTAAGGTTTACAAAATTAGAGTTTGAAGTGAGTGATAATTTTCTTTGCATGCAGTGTAGAAAATATAAAAATTTAAAATATGCAATTCTGCAGTTGCATATGTGTTTGAAATGATTTCAAAATACCACCACTCGAACTATACAGTGCGTTAAATTGTGCAAAATTTTGGCAATGTCAAAACATTAAGATTTTAATTATTCTTAACAATTTGTATAATCGCAATTCGCAAATAAATTCACAAAAATATCCTCAAAAAGATAAACCAAAAACCAAAACCGTTGCTTTCTTCAAAAGCATGTATACATAGAGAATAGAATATATATTAGAAGGGAATTTAAAGAATCTATCGGTATGAATTTTTGCAGTTCCTTTCAGCCTGAAAGGGAGTTTAAAGTATACAAATCATGTAAATGTTCACAAATTATATGCAGTAGAGTACATTAATACAGTTTGTTCCCTAGACTATTCATTTCAATTTCGAATTTTTTGAACTGTTAAATAAACTTTTTAATGAATTAGGTGAATAAAAAACATCATTTGATTTATAGTTATAACGGAAAATCATCGTTTGTAAAGTGGAAGGCATAGAGTCTATGTGAAATGATCATTGGTCAATTATGAAACCAGCCTATTTCATAATTTGGTTTTCTTTTAACAATAATTTTAGATTTTCTATAAAATGATATTCCAGGGCCCAAAAGGTTATATAGCATAAATATGTGAAGTACACCTGCAGTATGGAAACAGTACAACAAAATGGCCGTTTTACACTTTTTTCTAGTAAATTCCCCTCTAATATATATTCTATTCTCTATGCATGTATAAGCTTGAAATTGTGGTGCAATGTGGTGCTTCAATAACATATATTACTTACAGATGGGTGGTTTTTAAAAAAGTAATATAAGTTAAATTATTTAACATAAACATAGAACGAGTTTAACCCATTTGTATTTGTACATAATAGAAGGGCATTGTAACAAGACAAGTAGTGATGAACACCACACTAAAAAGTCATGTACTTGTGTATTGTGAGTACAATGCACGGATTGTAACAAGACAAGTAGTGATGAACACCTCACTAAAAAAGTCATGTGTTTGTGTATTGTAAGTACAATGTACGGATTTCTAACGGATTTATGGAAAGTTTAAAAGACGTCAAAAACTTGACTGACTGGGTGAAACTGTATCATTTTATGTACTTTGACTCGTATGTACTATATATACCTGTACTAGATGTTCTTGTTCTCCGAGTGCTAGTACTCAAGTGGTAAGAGAACAGTACACAAGACAGAATCAAGAAAAGCTCACACAAAGCAACCACTATACCTGGATCAGTATCAGTATCAGTATCAGTATCAGTATCAGTATCAGTATCAGTATCAGTATCAGTATCAGTATCAGTATCAGTATCAGTATCAGTAACAGTAACAGTATCAGTATCAGTATCACCCCATGATCCCCTCCCGCACAACCTAACTATAATAACCCCCATCCCCCCCCCATCGCTGCCCCTTCCTTTCAAAATATTACCTATAAGCCCCCAGGCTAGAAGCAGGGGCATGACGTACGTATCCCAGGACTCCTTGATGGTCGTGATACAACCCTTGACATGGATCCTCTCATAGATTTTCTGTGTAAAATCAGTATCCAGGGGCCTAAATATTAAATACTAAGCCTCTGCCTATTTTCTATTCATTCGTCCTCGTCCTCATCCTATTCTTTGGATTTAGGTTGGATATGGGTTAGATATGGGTTGGATATGGGTTGGATATGGGTTGGATAAGGGTTGGATATGGGTTGGATAAGGGTTGGATATGGGTTGGATAAGGGTTGGATAAGGGTTGGATATGGGTTGGATATGGGTTGGATATGGGTTGGATATGGGTTGGATATGGGTTGGTTATGGGTTGGTTATGGGTTGGATATGGGTTGGATATGGGTTGGATATGGGTTGGATATTGGTTGGATATGGGTTGGATATGGGTTGGATATGGGTTGGATATGGGTTGGATATGGGTTGGATATGGGTGGGATATGGGTTGGATATGGGTTGGATAAAGGTTGGATATGGGTTGAATATGGGTTGGATATGGGTGTGGAGAGGTGCTTAAACTTAATACATTAATTCATTCATGGTTGAAAGCAAAAACTAGAATTTGGTTTGGCAGTCAAACTCACAGCAGCTGATTACACAGATATTCACTCTAGAAAACTTACACCTTAAAGGGAGTGTTCGATAATGTTGAAAGGGGTTAAAGGGAGTGTTAACGATTGTTTAAGGGGTTTAAAGGGAATTTTCAGGAATATTTAAAGAGTTTTTAAGGGAGTGTTTAGGTATGGTTAAAGGGGTTTTAAAGGAGTATTCAAGAATGTTAAATGATTTTTAAGAGAATGTTCAGGAATGTTTAAAGGGTTTTTAGGGAATATTCAGGAATGTGTAAAGGGATTAAATGGAGTATTCAGGAATGTTTAGGGAAAGGATTAAAAGGAGTCTTTACGATGGTTTAAAGGGAATGTTCAGAAATGTTAAAATGGTTGTAAATACCTTTTTAATAAATGGTGATATTAAGTTAGGAAAAAGATCTAAGTGGCTCAGATAAAATGCGCTTTCTTGTATCTTGGGTATTTTATGAATGCCCCGTTCTAATCATTGCTGTTTCATGATTTTTATCACTGTCGTTTGGAAGTTTGAAATTACGTCTACAGTCTCTTTATTACACTTTTAACAATTTCAAATTAGCAAAAAATGATGATATTCATTCTATCATTTTTGTAATTATTTATTCTGACCTTTTAGCCTGTATACCGCAGTCTGGATAGGGTACTGTACAGCAGGAATCTGGATAAGAAGAGAGAAGATATTTCTCCCATTCTCTGTATCCACTAGCTCCTCTTCCTCCACAGCAGCTGTACCTGTACAGTGTACAGTTTGTAGCAAGTGTACAGTTTATAGTTAATGCCAGGTATACAGGGTACAGTCTATGACAAGTGTACAGTTATCGGTTATTCCAGAACGTGATTTCAATGTGTACAAGATGTGTGTACAGTGTATAGGTTATAATTTTATAACCTATAACCAAATCCAACCCCAGATTTAAAAAATATCTTAATTTAATATTTCTATTAAATATCTGTCGTTCTGGGACAGTTTAGATGCAATATCTAAATATCAATGCAATATCATGTAGATTTTTAGTTTGATTAATTAATTAAAAACATTTAATTTAACAATTCCCCCCCCCCCCCACTTTAAAGATTCCTTGAATACCTGGTTTGTAAGGAGCTCCAGGTTTCCATTGTAGAATTATCTGATACTGCCATTTCAAGCTGTCTTTCAACATTCACCTTTTCAAACAAAAGATTCGAGTCTTTCCCACAAGCTCAAATTTTCTAATCCCTATATTTTAGCAACCTGATGGTGTAAACCTTTTATATTTCAAACTTAGATTATATGATCTATGCAGAATTTATAGATTGAAATATCTAAGGTCATCGAAATTGAGTTGCAGAGCTTTAGGGATTAGAAAAATCGACTTTGTACTAGAAGATCATTCTAGATTATACAGGGTTCCCAAAAGGAAATAACGTGGATTGAATAAACCGGCATTTATATCGTGTTTGATCCACTCGGTGTTTCTTTGTGGCCCCAATTTTTTACAAGTAAATTTTTAGCCACGGATAAAACTGGAAATTTCTGGGATTTTAAACATGTGTTTTACCTTTATCGATAATGTCAAATTTTAAATTATGAAATAAAATCAAAATTGTCTAAATATCAATAATATCTCCAGATAGACACAATTTTGGAAGCTGAGAAGAGCTGCGACCTATTAATGACACAATCTATGACATTTATAAAAATAAAAAAATTTTATTTCGTCTCTAAATTACCATTTCCCATTTTTATTAGAACATTCCACATAAATTGAACAAATTACAAAACCCAGAAATTCTTCAATTGTTCAAGAAAAAAATTTAAAAACTTTTCGTTCGCTTATTAAAATTTTTTATAATTTTTATAATTTTTTATAATTTATAATTTTAAATTATTTGAGCTTGTAAAAAAATTGATTTAAAAAACTTTTCTACGCAGAAAATAAAAACACAGTGACTGATTTTATAATCATAAAAATGAATAAATTGATGAATTCTTTAATTGATTATGTAAACTAAAGTGTTGCATGTTTTCAATGGTTTGGTTTGGTTTGGTTCACCAACCGTTGAAGTGGTTTGATGATAGCGTGTTCAAATATTTAGACCATAAAACCATTTTGTTTGTTAAACCATTCAGACTTTCACTCTCAGGTTCACCTTCACTTCAAGATAATTTATGTACAATGCAGTACATAAATATAAATTTTTGCCAGTCCTGAGATTATAGGTTTTATTATGTACACTGTTCCATACACCTGTACACCTAAAAATATTTCTGTACACTGTTGCATATCCGTACCATATATTCCTGTACACCTTGCAATATATCTGTACAATGTTGTATAAAACTGTTCACCGTCAATACTCCTGTACACCTAAAAATATTACCATACACTGTAGCATAATCATGTACACAGTACCATATTCCTGTACAGTGTACATTATAGCACATTACCATATTCCTGTACACTGAAGCATCCTGTACAGTTCCTTAAAAATTCCATATTTCATATTTCCAGCTAAGTGTATTTTAGAGTAAGGTGTGTCATTTTTTTTAGATTTTCTCTATTTCCATTCTGCAAACGTTTTATTTGTGCAAAATTTCTTAAGAAATCCAAATCTTGGAAAAAAAATCAGAAATCACATGGATTCTTTTACTATTTAAAAAGACAATTTATTTTGTAAAATAAATTACTCTACCTTATTAAGATCAGTTTGAATATTATTCCTGAGAATGAAGGCAAGTATGAGAGCTGCCAACTGTATACAGAACACTATGCAACCCAACACGGAGAACATGGCGTACAAGTTCCTCTTCTTCTCAAAGATTAATGCTATAGAGAGGATAGAGAACCCTGGATATCCAACATATCATTTACTCAGATTATTGGCATTTATAATAAGGTTCTGGCATCGTTTACCCATAAAGCTGTATTGGACAATGAAAAATGGCCTACCACCCCTTCACCCCCTCCCCCAAAATATATAAAAAGTACAATTTATTTACACCGCAGTACACTTCAGTAAAAATCATGTAAGCAGGTGGGCAAATTTAAATTGACAAAATGGTGTTATAATTCGCTCTTTGAGAAAATAACGTATTTGGTAGAGGTCGAAATGGGCTTAACTTATTTCCTCAATTGAAAAGCTCCCATTTTAGGTTGGATTTGATGAATAGCCAGATATAGTTGAACTAGGTACAGATAGTTAAACTTCTTCTCTTCTTAAGCCAAGAATGCATTAGAGAACTACAGTTATAACCAGAAAACTCTGAAATGGGAAGACGACGTTTTAGAAATTCTAACTTTTAAAAATATAATGAGCATGAGACAAAGCAATTGATGAGTGATTCAAAAAGTTTCTAGAACAAATATTTAGCATTTTAACAACATACAAATACGTTTTAGTACTGCTACAATGTCGTCTTCCTATTCCATTGTTTTTTGGTTGTCACTGCAGTTACCTGTTCAACCAGCCATATTCTCATTTCATATTAATGTTCAAAAATCACAAAAAAAAACTAAATTATTCAAAAAATAAATAGGTAATACTAGCTTGGGAACCCAGCGTTGCCCAGGTTAATAATAGTTAGTCCCACCATTTACCCGCGTTTTGTCGCAAAAAACTGCCCGCTCAACTTATAATATTAAAACCAAGCTAAGAACATTCCCGTCGTTCTCCCAAGTTTCCCAATCAAAATTTGATGCAAATCGGTCCAAGGGTTTATGAGTTATGATCAGACAAACAGAGAAAACATCTTTATATATAATGATGTATGTTTTCCTATACTGCAGGAGCTGGCTATTATCATGAGGATTGGTCCACCACGGAAATTGTTTGAAGCCATCGTCAACAGATGGAGTTTAAAGCTCCCAAGGAAAATACAACTAAATCATTTAAAAAATCAATTAAGTTCTATAGTTAATTGGAACCAAAATATAAAATATCAAAAACAATTTTGATGGACATAAGAGGGCAAAAAAACTGAGAATATGAAAGAAATCAGGAAATCAAGCTAGATTGATAATTTTGAAAGCGAAATACAAGGTTACCCACAAAGGATGAGATTTTAAAGACGACCCAAAACTCTAAAAATATGACTATTTGAAGCTTGATTTTTAGTCTCTGCATTCAATTCAGTATTTTGATAGTTTACTAAATGATCAAGCAAAGATCTATGCCAACTGGCCTACAAGGAACCTAAAATACAAGAAAACGAACTATAACATCGTCTCTGAAGTCTCATCCTTTGTGGGTAACCCTGTATAAATACTGAAATTGAGAGAAAGAATTAAAAGGTGTTTCCAGTAAAAGAAACGATATTCCTCGAAGGAGAGTGTATTAATACATCTGTAGTTTAAGTTTAGTTACCATATAACAAGAAGAACTGGAGGAGGGTGTATTAATACATCTGTAGTTTAAGTTTAGTTACCATATAACAAGAAGAACTGTACTGAGAAGAATAATAAGAGTAAGTGTGATGAGTAGGGTGGATACACGGTTCCGTTCCCCCTCCAGGATTCTTTCAACCCTACTCCGCTCCGGCATATTTACTTTCTTCACTATAGTACTAGTTTTCTTTTTCGGAGCTGAGTCTTTGTCATTCTTCCTTCCTTCCTTCTCATCCTTTCCATCCACAGCTTTACTGAATAAACCCATTGCACGGTTTACACTACGGGGTTTACACCAGTTTTTTCTCCGGATTTATATGCTAGGTAAAGAAATTTAAACTACATAATATTTCTGAAAAAAAAACTATGTAAAAAATTTGATTTAAGTTGGGAAACTTTATGTGTAAAAAATATTTACAAAGAAGACAATGAAAATTCTAATTGATCAAAAATAAATTGTTTTCTACTCTTAAATCATCTAAACTTTTAAAATCTTGAATTCTTCACAAAGTTGAGAATATTTGGCTCCAATCACAGAAAGCCTAGATTGTGTAGTTTAAAGCTGTCGGAGTAAAACTGAGAAGAATTGAGGGGAACGGAACCATTCCTAGTGCATGATGTAAGAATTCTTTACCGCGCCCTACCTTCTTAGTAACCCACCTACTTACTACCTATCCACCTACTTACTAACCTATCCACCTACTTACTAACCTATCCATCTACTTACTAACCTATCCATCTACTTACTAACCTATCCATCTACTTAGTAACCTATCCACCTACTAACTAAAATATCTACCTACCTACTTAGTAACCCATCTACTTACTAACCTATCAGCCTACCTACCTACCTAGTAACCCACCTACTTACTAACCTATCAACCAACCTACCTACTTAGTAACCCACATACTTACTACCCTATCCATCTACTAACTAACCTATCCACCTACTAACTAAAATATCTACCTACCTACTTAGTAACCCACCTACTTACTAACCTATCCATCTACTTACTAACCTATCCACCTACTTAATAACCTATCCATCTACTTACTAACCTATCAATCTACTGACTAACCTATCCATCTACTTACTAACCTATCCATCTACTTAGTAACCTATCCACCTACTTACTAACCTATCCATCTACTTACTAACCTATCCATCTACTTAGTAACCTATCCACCTACTAACTAAAATATCTACCTACCAACTTAGTAGCCCATCTACTTACTAACCTATCAGCCTACCTACCTACCTAGTAACCCACCTACTTACTAACCTATCAACCAACCTACCTACTTAGTAACCCACCTACTTACTAACCTATCCATCTACTTACTAACATATCCATCTACTTACTAACCTATCCACATTCTGAATAAAATATCTACCTACCTAATTAGTGACCCACCTACTTCCTAACCTATTAACCAACCTACCTACTTTGTAACCCACCTTCTTACTAACCTATAAACCTACTTACCTACTTAATGACCCACCTACTTACTAATCTATCCACCTACTTACTAACATATTTACATACCTACCTACTTCGTGACCCACCTACTTACTTACCTATCAACCTACCTATCTACTTAGTATGCGCCATAAAAATTTTCAAGGTTTTACTTACTGAATTTTTGTTTAAAAGATATTTTAAAAAGGATGAATTAAGTTGCCTTTTAATATCATAAGGCTCCCCATGCGTGCCCCCCCAGGGGGTTCACCCGTGGGGGGGTCACGTCCACCCAGTGCTCCCCCCCCCCGTAAGCCACTGTATTTTGTATATAAATAACCTGAAGCTCTCTCATACCCTCGAAAGTCAATTAAGGGTTTAATGAAATATTTAATAAAATATTTATGAAGTTTCATGATTAAATTGTAACTATAATGTCAAGATGATATTGTACAATGTACTTAAACCTTGAGAATATTTGCGTAAACTTTATCAAAGGGAAGCAGAGCGTGAAATTAAATAATTTCATGGAAATACGCATTTTTATTTCTCACGCTCACGTGACTTCGCCAATAACGCAACATGGGTGCGTCAGGAGATAGCATAGGAAAATTATTTGAATAAAAATAGTAAGCACTGAATTTATTGGCAAGGATTTCTTTTTTAATTGAATTTTGAGAAAATACTTTGCAAACCATCGAGAATATTCAACTGGTGATGGGGCAATTTTGCTTAAAAATTTAGGGAACCATTAAAGTTCCGTAAATGAATCGAAACTTTCGAAAATGATTTAAGTCTTTGCCACAAAATCCTAATCCCTATATCATAGCAACCAAATGTCGTGAACCTTTGATATTTCAAACTATGAATTCTGTTAGATCAAATAAGTTAGAAATATCAAAGGTTTACACCACCAGGTTGCAATGATATAGAGATGAGAAAATTTGAGTTTTTTGGCAACGACTCAGTTCCTTTACGGAAAATCTGGTTTAAAACTGAAAGAACCCATAATAATCAATTTGATAAAAACAAACGTTAAGAATCGTAACGTAAAAGATTTTTTGCCACAAACCCACATTTTCTAATCCCTATATCGTTGCAGCCTAATGTTGTAAACCTTTTATTCTTAAACTATATATCTCACAGAGTGTTATATATTGAAATATCAAAGGTCTACAACATCTGGTTGCAGAGTTAAAAGGGTGTTAAAAAACCAAACACTTCTCACTTTGTCTCTCAGAGGCTTAATTTTTACCCGATCATAATGAAATTAATATCACAATGTCTCTAGGATGGTAAAACTATGTGAAGAAAATTTTTTTAGGATTTGGTCAACCCTGCTCTAAATAAATGCTCTTTGTCTCTTAGGGTTAGAAATGACTAGCCTACGTGCAAAAAAATGCAAAACTAAGATTGGTCCCAAACTGGCTTAAAAATGGCAAGAATCTGTTTAAAGGTATATCTGAATAGGTTAGTTACCAGATTACAAGTTCAGAGTGTCGAGTTAATTTTACCCAAATCCTATTAGGAGGATACTGAAGCCAACCATTTCCAGACAAATACAGAACCAGTTCCTTCACTTCTCCTTCAACAAGGAGAACACCTGCCGGAGACCCTTACTGTGAGCTGATTGGGACATTTTTATTTCAAGAAGGAATGTACTTACTTTATCCTAAAGCTTTTTCTGGTGAAATCAACTCTAACCCATGGTCCTCGAGGGCTGACCTTGCTTGCAGAACAAAATTGTAAACAGCCACGCGCTGCCAGCCTCTCATGCTGTCAGCATTTCAGCAATAGTTTAAAACAAAGTTTGGTTTACACTTGACAATGTACATTAAGTTTAACAATGCCCGTCCTATAATTGAGAGTAATTGTGGGTTAATAAAAAGAAGGTTTCAAGAATTGAAAAAATCTCTGTCAATTGCACAGACAAAGAGTATTTATTCAGAGCAGGGTTGACCAAATCTAATAATTTATTTTCACATACCCCTAACACCCTATATAGACATTGTGATATTAATTCAGTAGAATTGGATGAAAATTAATTCTCTGAGAGAAAAAAGTGTCAAGTGGTTGGTTTTATTTTAACACCCTTTATAGGGATTATAAATTTTGAGTTTGAGGCAAGAACTCAATTCCTTTATAAACAGACGGAGAATCAAAAAGAACGAACGATTAATTATTTTAATATAATCGTGTTTAGTGCTATTAATTTGCCTAGCCAGGCAATCTATACATAGACTAAAATACTTTTTTTTTTTTTTTTGGGGGGGGGGGGGGTATTTTAAACCCAAAATCTAACCCACATAGAACTTTATATAAAAGAAACCAATATTACATGGGTTTCGTGGATCGGAGTTAAAACCTTCCAAAATAATTTGAATATTGGACTGTGTTCAAATATCAACACGATCGTTAAAACACGTTTGTTTTGGATCGTTTTTGGTTCTTTTTTTGCTTTTATGAAACGAAAATGTTGAGAATAAACAGTTTTAAAATTGTTTTTTTTATACAATTGCCAAACTTTGACCTTGAAAGAAAATAGAGATAAAAAACCAACTTTATAGAACTTACTAACTACAGAAATCGGTTATTTGAATTTAAAAATGGCAAAGTTTGTTCTCAACTATGATGTTGAAAAAGTGTAAAAGTGTAAGCGTTCTAGTGTAAGCTGTTTTAAACTTATTTAGACAAAACCACAGGGGTGTGGGTGGAACCCCCCCCCCCTAATCGTGATAGGGTTAAGAACGGAGTAACATCTCTTCCCAAACTAGAGGAGCTAAACCTGGATCAGAGTTATAATCTCTCTAAATCTGGATTTCAGGAAATTCATAAAATCTCTGAGAACACATTGAAGATTAAAGCTTAAGAAATCAAAATGCTGCAGAATGTGTTAAGAAAATGATTTAAAAATAGAAAATGATTTAAAAAATAGAAAGTGGGTTGGGGAAGAGTTCATGGAATATTGGGAGACAACAATTTGATAATTTTCATAACATAACATTAATTTCACTAGAAGGGGATCATTCATTTGGCGTACCGTCCCGATTTGCCTTATATAGTCTGTAATTGTACTGTACAGCTTACTCTAACTGGTTAAAAGTCGGCCTGGTTCTTTAAATGAATCGTCTAGGTTGATAGTCGATTTAATATTGTTATTATTATGGATTACTTCAATGTCTCGTGCTAAAAAATATTCCCGACTGGTGACTAGAATTTAAAACTTAGTTGTTCAGCGCATTTGTTCGTATTTTATTAAATTTTGTAAGTCAATAAAATTATAAAAGAATACTAATAAGAACATTTTTGTCGAAAATAATTGTAGATCTGATCTTTCAAATAAATACCTATATTTGCAACCTGGCGGTTTATCCCGATGGTATTTCAAACTTAATTTACTTGATAATCTATATTTTGAAATCTATAAGGGGTTGGAAAAAATTAGATAAATATAAAAAATTAGATAAAATTAAAAAATTGGATAAATATAAAAATTAGATAAAAATAAAAAATCAGATAAATAGAAAAAATTAGATACATAGAAAAAATTAAGCTTTTTAGTTTATCCCAATTTTATTTAAAATGGCCACCATTTGCTCGAAAACTGTCTTAATTATGAAAATCTGATTTTAATTGTAAATGTTGAGTGTTAACCCTTATTCCCTTTATATTGCATACAGAGGGAGTATAGTCTCAGTACAAAATTATTGATATTGGGTAGCCAAACATTTTTATAAACTTGGACATCAAAATATTTAGTTATCAAATCTAGTTTATTTCATTTAAGAAAAAGATTTTTAAAAATTATTATAAAATGTTGTTTTTTGTCTTATCAAACTTTAGAATTAGAAAAGTAAAAGTGAACTTTAAACTTGATATTAAACACAAAGACCTGAAAACTGCAAGTTCAGCGCTAAATATTCAATGTCTATAAAAGCCTGAAGCCCCTCTTAAGCAGCTGTGAGAGAAGAAAGAGTAGGATAAGATGAGGATCCTCGTCTCTCCTGCCATTTTAGCTTTGCTAGGTACAGTTGGTCGTTTTTTAATCCATTTTTAACATTTTTTGGCTTTCAACTGGGACACCAAAAAAGTATGAGAAGTTTAACATTTTAACAATTTATTTTTAAATCTTGTTTCTGGTACATAATATAAACTTAAACAATATCTTTGTTTTAAATCTTCCTGAAACAATCTCAAGAACTGACGAGGGTCAACCCAGACCAAAATATATTTTCAATAAATGTGGTACTGGCATATACTTTTTTTGCTCTACAGAGGTTGGTCCATCACCATCACCGAATTTCAAATTTCTTAAGTTGTTAGTTAACGCATGATTTATATCTTCTGTCTGAGTGCATTTTCCAAAATTTCATGAAAAAAAATTCCAATTTGGAGATTTTGAATATGTTTTACTTTATATCGAAATTCTCTAAAATTTAAATATTTATTAGTTAGTTTGCATACATTACTGATTAGAACTTAGTGATTCCTAGACATTGTGGATCGACAATATTTGTTTCACTAGAGATTCCTAGACATTATGGATTGACAATATTTGTTTAACTAGAGATTCCTAAACATTTTGGATTGACAATATTTGTTTAACTAGAGATTCCTAGACATTATGGATCGACAATAATTTTTTAACTAGAAATTCCTAAACATAATGGATCGACAAAATTTGTTTAACTAGAGATTTCTAGACATTATGGATTGACAATATTTGTTTAACTAGAAATTCCTAGACATAATGGATCGACAATATTTGTTTAACTAGAGATTCCTAGACATTATGGATGGACAATATTTGTTTAACACCTTTTTAAAATTAAACATCTTATAACTATTTGATTTCGAGTTTGGGTTTGAGGTGTGTATATGCAGATTTAAAGATTACAATGTGATTTAGGTTTACATAGTTCTATAGTTTATATTGTTTGAGCAATATATTCTTGAGGATTTAGCTCTGGCTTCTTTTATATCAAAATTGAATAAACTTTTCTAGGAGTGGTGGCAGCCTCTTCTATCCAAACAGGAGGATGGAAACCTGAGCAGGAGTTTATCTTCAAGTACACGACACAGGTGCAGAGGCTAGGCGGGGGGGGGGGGGGGGTTGAGGATATTTAGAAATTTTGACAAAGAATATGAATAGTTTTTTAGAAGACGTTCCACGATATTTCAAGCGACCCTCCTCCATTTAAAGAGTTAGTTGTCAGATTTTCAACCTTTATAACCGGGTAGTCACCAAGAATATTCTCTGAATGAAGTCCTAATAGAAACTTAGTTTTTGCCACAGTTTGTGACAACAAATTAATTTCTTTTGCACTAAAAAGTCCTAAAAAAAAAAATCACCAAAGTTAATAGTGTTTGGAAAGATTGTACCAGGAATCCAAATCCCTTGACATTATTTTTAGTTTTTAACTTCAGGTTTTTTCCTAAAACTTTTCCCGTTTTCTAACATAGATTCTTTAACTAACTTTGTTTAAAAAGAAATTGATAAATTTTTACTTGCGCTTGAAAGTCACTTTTATTCATTGAAATCCTTTTTCATTTGGAAGAAAAATACTTATAGATAAACTTCGGCAATCCTTTATACTTGTTTTTTTGGTAAAAATTGTTGACTGCTCAAAATCGATGTAGGAAAATTTGTTTTCCTAATTCAAAGTCTAAATTTTACCTAAAAAGAAGACAAGGAAATTATTAAATAATTAAATTGTCGTACACTTGTCACATATTTGAATCATGTCAAGTAAAAATAAAATCAAATGTTGCTTTATCACATTTTTAGTTTTACTGTAGAAAAGATAGTTTTCTATATAATTCAATAATTAATTGAGATAAATCTACAGATCTAATATTTTTATTATAAATTAAGTACTTTTGAAGAATTGATAATATTTGAAAATTGAAAGTTGGTTAAAGAGTGATCATGTTAAGCGTTTTCAGCTTTTCAGCTTTTCAGCTTAGCTTTGACAGAAAATGCAAACCTCTTTAAATTTTGACCTTACGGATGTCTGAATGTGAAAAATTCATCCTAATTTGCAAATTCAGGTTTTAATTTCAATATCGCTCATTTGTAACTTATGATTTTATCCAGGTGCTAACAGGAATACCAGAACTGAATGACCAGTTCTCTGGTATCCGTCTCTCTTCTGATGTCAGGGTTCAGAGCTTATCAGACTCCTCACTAAGAATTCGTCTTGAAAACACAAAATTTAATTTGCACAATGATCAGCTCCAACAAGACAATCTTCAGGTTTAAACTTAAACTTTATTTAACTAAATCTTAAGTTCGAAAGTGAGAACCTGAAAACTCAGGAACAGGATCAGTCTCCTACTCCTGTTTTCTTGTTCTCACTTTACATTTAAAAAGAGCAAGCATAAAAGATACATTCCATATAAAAGGAATTGAGTATTTGCCACAAACTCTGATTATCCAAACCCTAAATCTTTGCAACCCTATGTTGTAGACCTTAGAATTTTCAAGCCATGAATTCTGGTAGATCAAATATTCTTTGTCAAAGGGTGTCATGCCATCAGGTTGCAAACACATAGAGATTAGAATTTGTGGCAAAGGCTTTGTTCCTTTTGTAAGGCTTCAGGTAAATTGTGAAACTGCACTGGAGTGATTATTGATATTTTTAGGATTTTGGAAAGCATCTTGAACAGAATCTTCCTTCTGAGATGAAAAAATGGTTGGAAACTTCCTTCACTGTCTATCATAAGAGAGGTCATTTTGAGAAAATGGAGATACAAGATTCTGAACCAGAATTTATTGTAAATCTTAAGAAAGGTCTTATGTCCCACCTTCACTTTGAGCTTAGAGATTCTAGCTTTTCCAGGGCCCAAGCTGTAGCTCAAAATCATGTCCAGTCTAACTATTCCAGGGCCCAAGCTGTAGCTCAAAATCATGTCCAGTCTAAAGATCAAGCTCTTACCTTTATGGTAATGGAAGAATCTATTCTGGGTAACTGTGAAACATCATATTCCATTAACCCATTACCACTAGACCTTCAGAACATAATCAAACAAGAAGAGCAGCATGGAAGTGATGTAAGTTGTCAGGATTTAGAATACTTTGAGGTCATAAAATCCAGAAATTTGGACAACTGTCTTAAACAGCCTGTGTATCATAAGACATTTGGCACATGGTCTAGATCTGAAGGAGCTGGTTCCTCCTCCCAGAGCAGTCACTCCTCGGTATCCAGAGCAATCATGTGCGGAACCATTGACAACTACAGGATGGTAAAGGTCACATCTCAGAATAAGATCATTTCAAGTGCACTTGGAGATAAGGCTAGTTCCGAGATTTTAGAACTCACTTCAACTTCTATTCTTCATCTTCAATCTGTCAAGGACATATCTGACAAGATTGAGACCTCTTCATCCATTAAAACATACACCACCCTTTCATATGAATATGGGAAAGGGTATCTAAGTGGTGAGCCTTTGTCAGGAGTCAGAAATGGTTCCATAATCTTTGCTGACCAACCTGATATGACAACAGCACCTCAGCATTTGTTGCCTAGGTCTATTCCTGCAGTGGAAGTAAAAGAAAAGGTTATTCAATCAATTCTTGATCTTGTTAGAGATGGCAAAAAAATAAACCAGAATCTTGAGAAGGATATTGCTGGGGTGTCTACAGTGATCTCAAGATCAATTCACATACTCGGGTATGCTGAGCTTAGAGATGTAGAATCAACTCTGCGCAGGGAACATGACAGCAAACTTTCAATTGAAATATTTTATGACCTCCTGGCTATCACCGGAACAAACCCTTGCATTAAACTTATCAAAGAAAGAGTTCTTGATGGAGAAATATCTGGAGAAACTGGATCTTGGATTATATCCAATGCTTTAAGGTCAATTAAGTATCCCACTGAGGAGCTTCTTCAGGAGTTGGTTGAACTTTTAATGACTCGTCAGGTTCAGGATTCAAGACCTTCCCAATCATCCTTAGTGTTAGGACTTACAGAAATGGTTTACAAAGCTTGTATTAACCCTGTTAGCTCCAGAAATGAATTTCCTACCAAGATCTATGGACAGTTTTGCAATAAGGACTCAAAAATCATCAAAGATCAGTTAGAACCTCTCCTGGTCAATAAGATGAGAGATAGTAGGAACAGAAATAAACATTCTGCTTTAGTTTATGTGAATGCCCTGGGAAATCTAGGAACAGAAACTGCTGGCCAGGAACTAGTTAATGTTGTTGAAGGAAGGTTTGGACCATCTCCCCTTATTCGTTCTCTAGCTGTTTATAGACTGATCAGAAATGCCAAGGGGAATCCTGCTCTTTACAAAACTATATTCCAGGCTCTGATAGAAAACCCATCTGAAAACACAGAAGTGAGAATTGCTGCTATCACAGCCTTTCCTTACTCACAGCCATCAACTTCAGATTATCAGAGGCTTGCAATTAGAACTTGGTTTGAACCAACCAATCAAGTTTCTTCTTATATTTATTCCGCTCTGAAGGCGCTCAAAAATAATCTTAGAGGACCAAATGAGTTTTCTAGAAAAGCAACTATTGCTTTAACCTTATGTAAGCCAAGCGCCTATGGAATTCAAACCTCACGAAATGTCCAAGTTTCTCAATTTCTAGAATCTTTTAAACATATCATTCATCAGAACATACAATGGGTTTCCTCTGAAGAATCATTTATCCCTAAGTCCATTTACTCTAGAATGGAAATGAGAGGAATTGACAATTCTGCTGTTCCTCTTGAGGCCCATCTGTACATCCATGGAGCCCAATATGTAATTGATCAACTGTATGAGATGTACTCTGGAAGGTTTGATAGGCAGGACACAACACAGGAGCAAAATAATAACTTTAGAGAATTGAGGGAAAGGTCATCAAGGCTTCAAATTGAGCCAAGATATGTAGATAATAATGCTGAGGCTCACTTTACATTAAAGACTTTGGGCCTGCAGAAAATATACTCCCTTGATGCTGAATTTATAAGAACAATAAAGGAAGACCTTGAATCACTTCTAAGAAATCGTCATGATTTAACAAACGGTATATCAAAAGAGTACTTTAAAGTCCATGATTGGTCTGGTTCTGACACAGTTTTCCCAACAGAATCTGGATTTCCGGCCTATATCACAAGAAGAAATCCCTCAGTGCTCTATACTAGAATTAATGTTGTGCCAAAGGCAACTTCAAGTTTTCCTTCCAACATGGAGTTTAACTTTGAGCTGAAGACCATTCTAAACTACAAACAAGAGGTGCAAGGAGGTATTATAACTCCTATTACTGACCAGGCCCATGCTGCCGGGGCTGATTATTCAGTTTTTGCATCTCTTCCTCTCAAGGGCAAGGTATCTCTACAGGAGGGTCAAGCATCTCTAACTGTTCTGAAAACTAATGATACTGAAGACAAGTTAATTCTTCAATCTTCCGTCACTCCCTTCACCACCAGCTGTACTATCAACAAGATTAGACCTGCCATTAAATCTTCATCATCCAAGTTTGTAAAATCTAGAACTCCGGAAAAACAGGTAATTTATAAAACAGCAAAGTTGAATTGTTTTTATCTTTTCCTTTATTTAGGAATCCTACAATCTTCTTAGATCCCTTGGATTGAACCTTAAGGTTCAGGTTCAAACAGAACAAGAAAATGTTGGTCCTTTAGCTTTTGCACCCAAGAAAAGTTCACCATTTTTGATCAGTTCTTTGTTTTCAAGCCCATTCAAATCAGCAAAAAGACATATGATTCGCTTAGAAGGAAATCCATCAGAAGTTGAGGCTGCCACATTTAATGTTAACATAGGTGAGAATACCCTTTTCTGTAATATTCAAAAATTATTGTTTTTCATGCCTTTCAGAATCAGCCACTTAAAATTTTTTTTTTGCTTTCTTTTTTCTTTTAACTGACTTAAAGAACAAAGAAACATCCTTTAAAGTTTAAACTCTAATTTTCTAATTAGGTAACAAAGATACATGGATTAGGAAGTCAAATTTAATAACATTATTCTTTCCCTTTTTTTAGATTTAGAAACAAGATTTTTAATTATATAACAATGCAAACATTTTTTTAATCTATTTTATGTTTTTTCCATGTGTGACAGATGTCAAAACTTTTTTGTTAAGGATTCGGGACAAAGGAATCAAAGCATGAAAAATCCCACATGAGTTACCCAATATTTGAATTTGCATCAGAGGTGGAAAGGGTTTGCAAGAAGAATGCTCAAGAAGAAAATGAAATATCATCTTGCAAGGAATTCATCCTTCATAAACTAGGAGGAGAAATAATTGACTTGAACATTCTAAGGTCTAACATGGGAGAAAAATTGATTAATCAGCAATCTCAAGAGGTTGCAGTTGAAAAACAGATCTGTAGAGAAGGAAAACATTGGTGCGATGAGAACCGACAATCTGAAATGAATATCTGTTTTGAAAATCTCATGCTCTGCAATCAAAGGAGAGAAAACAGAGACACTACTAGGGAAACTCTGAAACATCTGAAAAAGGGCAACGCTGTGACTGTGTCACTGTCTGCTACTCTTAGGGAATCTCAAGGCAGAAATTTAAGAAGATTTACCACTCACATTTCTCTCGGGCAGAAAAGAAGCAATAAAACTGAAGAAATTCAAGTGAGAGGGGAGTTAATCCAGGAGTCACCAAGCTTAAGGCAGCCATTTGAAGTCAAGTACTTGTATTCAAGCATTATACAGAAACCTAAACATTATTGGAACTCTAATGAAGTTCTAAATGAAGATTTAACTGGCAAAATTGTATTGAATTCTCATTATGGATTCCAAGGAGAAGAAAAAGATATCATTAATGTTGACTTTGACCTTGGAAGATCTGAATCTTTGAAACATTTTGCCCAAAACTCTGAAGAAGTAAAGCAGTGTGAAAAGGACTTAGGTGAAGGAAGAACTTTGACAACAGTCTGTAAACAAGCAAAACGCCAAGCTGACTCATTAGATATTATATCAGGAACTCTTTCTATCCCAAGAAAGCTCTCCCAAACCCAAATGTACATTTCTCTTGGGAAAGGAATTAAAGGTTTCTTGTTCCCATTCATATCAGAGAAACAAATAGATCATGTTGAGTCCAATGATAGGATTGATTTCAAGGTTGAAGGATCCATCTCAAATTCAGGGGAAGAAGCAACACTCCAACTGAAAGGTAACAATGTAGAAACTGAACTGAAAGGAATACATCTTGGCTCCCTAACCAAGGGACTTTATCCACTTAGTACAAAACATTCTTTTCTCAACGAATTTCTTCAAAAGATGACAAACCACGCTTCTCCCTCAAGCTGCAGAATTGAAGGGGGTAAGGTCACATCTTTTGATCAACTAGAATATGAGTATGAACTGAATGACTGCGAGCATATTGTATTCCAAGATTGTTCTGAAGATCAAAGGGTCAGTGTTTCAACCAAGAGAAGGCTATCCAAACAGCATGTTACAATTTTCGTTGATGGTAACAAATATGAGGTGGAAACTGATAAACCTGACAGATATTTACCCTCAGGCAAGACCATCCTTAGAGTTAATGGAGAAGAAATGGTCTGGAGAAGACAAGATGAAGCTGATGGTCAATTTCTATCAGAAAATAAGAACAGGCAGGTCAACACAAATGAAATATCAAGAAGTCAGCAAAAAAATGATCTTCAGTACATTGATGGCGAGGAGAATTATCTCAATAATGGTCAAAACTATATCACCAACTTTAAAGATGGTGTTGTTAAGGTCACTTCTCTGAAATATGGAGTCACAGTTCTTGTAGATCATGAAAGAATAGAAATTCTCTCTTATCAGCATTTATTCAGAAACACAGCGTGTGGTCTATGTGGGGATTTGAATGGAGAAAAATCAGCTGACATGAAATCATCAAAAATGTGCTTGATGTCCAAACCCAAGCTTGCTGGTTTCAGTTACATGATTGAGGATGGAAACTGTCAAGGTATTCCAACAGAGCATAGAACCAGATTTAACAAAGAGCAGTCAAAATGTGAGAAGAAATCTGAGATTCCTACAAAAATATCCCAATTGTTAAAATATAACCAAATGCAGAACAAGAAGACAAATCCTTAATTGTAAATCACTGTGTAAAGACAAGATCATAATTCACATTTAAGGTGAATTGTTTCTGCAAAACTTTTTCAAATCTTGTTAATAAATCATACTATGAGGTAAATTTTAAGGAACTTGTTCATATAATTGTAAATGAAAAATTATGTTTTCTTTAATTTTAAATTGTAAATTTCAAACTTTTTTTGATGTAGAGTACGTTTCATCCTCCGTTTTTGGGGATCTACTTTGCGTANGGGGGGGGGGGGGATCAGAAAAACTTTTCACTTTAGAGAATCATGATCCTAAAACCATGTAATGCAGCAAAACCCATAAAACTGTCAAATAGGAAATCGACATTACAGCACTCTGATTATTATTTGATGTTCCAGTATAAAGTGAAATGGGTCTGTGAATGTCTACAATGCACAATTTAATTGTACATAACCCTATTTCTGAAGTACAATGAATTTGATTTAGCAGCTGCAATATCATAAAAAAATCTCGTTATTTTCACAGATAAATGTAAGCTGGGGTTAAAACTTTAGTTGAGATAGTTTGTATCAAGGATATTATAATAGCTACTGCAGGTATACCCACAAAGGATGAGACTGCAAAGATTTGCATTAAAGTTTAATTTACGAACTAGGGAGAAGCACAAGAATGTTATTAGCTTGGTTTTAAAATTCTAAGATGAATGGGTCGAATTTTTTGGGCAAAGTTGGGTTTCCCAGCTAGCATACATCAAACTGATTAGTGTGTAAGATACAGTGATAATCTGAAACCGTGGAATAGGAAGACGACATTATAGCCATACTGAAGCATTGTTAATGTTGCTACTAAGAAAATAGCCTTACAAGTAAGTTATTGTATTAAGGGCCTGTTTACACTGCACAATTGTTGTGTTTAATGTTAAGATTGGAATATTTATGGTCAGAACTTAAGTCTAAAAGTCGTCTTCCTACTCCAGAATTTTCTGGTTCTCATTGTACAATGAGAAAATTTTCATATCAGGACAGGTAGATTATTGAAGGTTGGAATCAAATAAAATGATAAGGATGGAATACAGGGAGGAGGATGAATGAAATACAAGGATTTAGGATGGAATAAAAGTAGAATGATGGATGGAATACAAGGATGTAACAAATGCCTTACTTCAATAGTTCTTTAAGTATGTATCAATACAGATACAACTCTCTCTGTATTCTTATGTATTAATCAATCCAGATACAATTCTCTCAGTATTCTTAAGTATGTATCAATCTAGATATGTAGTAAATGCACTACACCATGAAAGTCTTCCAGACCTGTATCAATCCAAGTAAAACTCAGTCCCTCGCGTTGGTCTACGAGGAATAAGACCTAATCAGTTTTTCAACTTTTCAATGTCAAAACAGACACAATCTCGAATACTATCAATGCCAAACACCCGCACAATCTCATAAGCTATCAATGTCAAACCACAGACATTATCTCGTAAACTATCAATGCCAAACACTGCCATGATCTCATAAGCTATCAATATCAAACACAGAAACAATCTCATAAACTATCAATGTCCAATACAGACATGATCTCATTAAATCGTTCACTAAATGAGGAACGATTACTTCTCTCACTGTAATCTAAGTGGAGTCTATTCCAACTGAGTGTATTTTGGGTTCTATCTTACAGATTAAGTTTAATAGAAGAAATTACAAGTTTTGCATCCTTTTATACAAACATAGTTAAGCTAATCACAATATGGGTTCAACTTAGTTATTTATAGACATATCTAGGTTGGATTAATTGCAATACAAGATTTGTGTAGTTACTGATAAGCGCATTTAGATTTATGGACAATGTACAACATAATTGATCTACAACTATAGGATCTGTAACAGTATTTATTACAAAATGGGGAGGGGGAAGGAATGTTGAAAAATAGAGTTATCTATCCCTTATTTTTTACAATTTTAGCCTCTCCACAACGATTCTTGTTTTGTCTCCATTCCGCTTTCTAGACTGCAAACAGAGAATTCATTAACTCCATTATATTAAACAGGCCACGTTTCATTTGATCCCTTTCCTCTTCTATACAGTTGCATTGCCCTTATACACAATAGGCTCCATAAATACAAGGTTTAGGCTTATCCAATTCATCCAGGTTGTCCTCGAGTTCTTCGTAGGATACAATGGGGATATCTCTTCGACTCCTTTTGATCCCTTCCCAGTGTTGCCCCTTGGATTCCCCATGTTGCTGATATTTCTGATACAACTCTCTCAGTATTCTTAAGTATGTATCAATACAGATACAACTCTCTCTGTATTTGATTTGAGCTAATCATGTTAAGCATTCGTTTGAAACGCAGTTTCAATGACGTACATACAACGTACTGCAAGTTTACAGAATATCATGTTTACACGCTTTTTGCTACATACAGGGAGAAGGATGGATTGAATACAGAAATAAAGATGGTTTTAGGAATATGGATTCAATACAGGAGGGTTGGATGGAATACAGGGAAAAAGATCTGGATAGGATAAAAGGAGAAGTTATGGATGGAATACATGGGAGAAGGTTGGATGGAATACAAGGAGAAGGTTTGATGGGACAGAGAGAGAAGGTTTGGTAAAATACAATTGGAGAAGGAAGAATGGGATACAGGTAGAAAGAATTGGATAGATAACAGGTAGAGTTGGTAAGATGGAATACATGGAGAAGGTTGGATGAGTACTGGATGAAATATAGGACAAGAGGGAGAAAGTTGGATAGTTAACGGGAGAGGGATGGATGGGATTAAGGGAGAAGGTTGGATGGGATGAAGGGAGAAGGTTGGATGGACTACTGGAGAAGGATGGATGGAATACAGAGTGGAGAAAGGTTAGTCAATCTATCTGCCTTTAAAAATTTTAATAATGGAAAACCCCCAATAATTAAGGTATGATATATTTAATGCCGAAACTTGAATATAGATGTCTCTGTAAGAATGTCTTTGTGCGACGCAGCGCTGTACAGGGATAAAATCCTTCCTTAATATTATGAAGAAAAAAAACACAATTATTTTTCATTATTTTTTTCAGCAATTTTGTTATGAAACTTAAATTAATAATTTCAAAATATTACGCAGAAACAATTTCGTCATGTTTAACAACAAATTGTTCACACAAAACCCGTGTATCAGGGAAATCGTGCTCTAATCTAGGCAGAGACGCAGGTCTAGAATAAGCTAGAATATAATGGCGCATCAACTAACCGATATTGCATCATGGTTTTATAAAAATTATATTTTACGTGCCACAACTCAGGGTTTAGCTGGGATTGCATCATGTTGGGGGCTTAAACTTTTATACCATTGCGTCATTCATAGCAATAGTAAAGCCAAACATTCATTGTTTAATTCAGTTTATAATTTTACGTCAAAAGTTGCCGACCTTCAGGCGAATTTTCGATAGTTTCATTTCAAAGAACTTTCAAGGTACAGACTTTAAAGGCAATCCTAAGAAATTCAAAGATTCTAAATTTTTGAAGTTAATAAAACCCTCAAGATGAATCAAAATGTTTTGTGAGAATTTTCAAGTGGCGAACATTATACGGGCTTCTCAAGCAACCCAACTATATTGTGAGGACCCACTTCATGTTCTAAATAATTTCAGAAACTCGTTTTTTTGACTGAAAAAACATTAGAAGAGGAAACAGAAGCGGCTCCATCACAGCTCCGTCAACTTCCATTAATTAAATTTAATTAAAATCTGTCAATGAAGATGCCACCTAGAAAAGTTTTGATGCCTGGTAAAAAAGAAATAACTAAAGAAGATCCTGTTTATAAAGAAAAACGTAACAAAAATAACGACGCTGTGAAGAAATCTCGACAAAAAACCAAAGTAAAGTCCGAAGAAACGATGAGAAAAGTGGCAATTTTAAAGCAGGTAAATCATAAATGACCTTATTGAGTACAATTATTGGACCCACCCCCCTCACCCTTCCCCTCCCCCTCAATTAATTTTGTTCATGGATAAAATTGATCATGTGGCCGCAGCGCCCGGCCCCCTAGCTTGTCCTAGCCGCGGCATTCGGCCCCCTAGCCTTTCCTAGCCGCAGCGCTCGGCCCAGAAATTGTCTTGACCTAACCTAACCCTAAACAAGTGGTCATGTAGAAAATTGATAGTAGGGGGAGGGTCCAAAAATCGTATACTATGACGGACCCGAATATTGACAAACATTGAAATCTATTTTAAATAAATATGTTTTACTAATTCATATCCCGGCTCACACCATTTACAGGGGGAGGGGAGTTTTTTTTTCAATATTATAATGGGAAAATCGTTCTCTAGGAATAAACCAATTTAAGTTCATATGGTACATTGTTTGTTTTTGATGTTTTTTTTTTGTAAAATTGAGAAGATAATTTTTTACAAAAGTTTTTTGTTTGTCTCAGGAGAATGAGGTACTGGAAGAACGAATTCAACTGTTATCCAAGGAGTTAACATTTCTCAAGGATATATTTCTAACCCACGCTAACCGGGCTCATGGGTTAGACGCCGCTCATCTCGGACTAGGGCATCTATTAAAGGAAGTTGATGAGGTATATATGATTATTAATTACATTCCTGTTTCAAATAGACAATATTGTGAGATTATTCATTATTAAATTCTTTCTACCAATTCTAACCTTAAATATTTAGCGTGAGTACATTTACACAGGGAAGGAATAAAATTTTTATTTTCTTTGATGAAAAGTCAGATTCATAAAGTAAATAAATTTTTTAAATTTTTTACGTACCATCTCCCTACCCCCTTCCGCTTCTCACATTAAAAATGGTTGTTTCCGTGAATTTTTTATTTTTAACCCTATAGTTTTTATATCATTGGGTCACTTTTGAACGGGGTAAAATTTTAAATATTTTCATAGACTTTTAAATTTCCTCTGAAAAGTAAAACTTCAATATCTATCCAATTCTATATCCATTTATTTTCAAGGACGTATTTTTTTACTGTTCGACGTCCTCGTCGGAACGCCTAAAACCTTTATCAAGAATAACTTAGATAATAAATATCCTTGTTTTTCTGCCTAAAAACTGTTTTGATTGTGGTTGCGAAGTGCGCACATATACAATTACAATAAAGGAAACTGTAGGAACGTCTTAAAAAACGACGAATTTGTTTTATCCTCCTTTTTGACAAAAAATCGAACTAATTAAATTTAAGAATATTTTTTATTTAGGCTGTGATGGAGATGTAGAACCGGGGTTTCTACGCATTTCTCTGGATTCTAATATATTTTCAAAATAAAAACTTCTTTTTTAAGTACAAAAGTCTGTATTTTCAAGTTCTTATGGAAATTATGTGAAAACTCACTTTGATGATTTAGAACAAAATGATTGATAACTTTTCAAAATTGTTCTTTTTCGTATTTCTAGTATTCAGTTCTTTCATTTAAACATTTAAAAAGATTATTATTAAAATTTTGAAAAAATAAACGATAAACTATAATTTTCTTAAATTAAGTGATAAATTTCTAATTCGCAATACTTAATCTCTCAATCAAATTTATCCCTTCAGGGCAGTGCCTAGGATCCATTTAATTTTGATGCGGATCCGGATCCGCACTGGAAAAAAATGGATCCGGATCCAGGTCATTTCTTTAAGATTCACTGAATTTTTTCCACAAAAAAAAATAATTTTCAAATTTTTTGTTTATTTTTTTCGCTTATTTTTATCCTAAAACTTGATGAACCATTCAGAAGTTCAGATTTGGGTTTCAGGAGTAAAAAAGTTTTTTTTGTAGTTTTTGGTTGATTTTTTACCCCTTGGATCCGGATCCGCAAGATTTTGGCTTCCTGGATCCGGATTATAAGCACTGCTTCAGGGTATGACACTCACGGTACATTAAAACGGTAATAAATTACTCCGTAGATCTGATTTAAGATGGATATCTTAGGTAGTCATACTCTCCAGGAATAACTAAAATTCAGGGATCAAGCATTGGTCCTCAAATCTAAAAGTGTCCACGTTGGATATCGAGATCAAAATGAACGATACTCATTCACAAAATTTCGATCTCAGGAGACTCTTAAAAAATTTGAGAAGTTTAACATATTTTAAAATTGAATTTTTTTATTGCATTACACTTCACTTGGAAAGTCTCATTGATTTTAGAAATTGTTTCAGCGAGTGATGATTAGTTTTGCTTTGTCCAGGTTCTGTCAGAGACAACATTTTTAAAAAGTACTTTAAGCAAACTTATACAGAATACAATTTTAAAGTATAATAAACTTCTCAGATATTTTTAGTCTTCTGAAAGCCTTTAAAAACTAAATGTTAATAAAGGGTATAATAAGGCAAGTTTTGGTCCAAGGTTTGCGAGATAAAACAATGAAGAAGAAGTAAGAAATTAGAGCAAAAAAAACCAATAATGGAATATGTTAGATTGTAAGAATGAATAAGAATTAAATACTGAAGCCTAGGCTTTCGATGGAAAAATGGATAGAATTGTGTTAATTAATTAAAAAAATAAATCCGTAATGAGGGAAGAAAACAGGAAACAAAGATCAAATTTCTATTGCAGATTTAAACCTTGTCCGAATAAGTGTCCAAGTCTGAATCTTCCTTGAGAAACCGGTAGTCTGAAAAATCTAAAGAGAAGGGGGAGGGACAGAAGCTTTAAGAAATGTCGTCTTCTATGTTCTAAAATTTTAATTCAAGCAGATATAGTTTCATTCGTTTTAATTTTTGCTGAAAACAAAGACTAATAGGTGGATTATTTTTAGGGCGCATAGACCATGTTTGTCTAGGGGGGGGGGGTGTTGAATAGGTGGAAATTGATAGTCTTTTCCTTGAATATTTATTTTATTGTTTTTCGGGTTAAACAACCTAACCTAAGGCACCTAAGGTATATATTCAGAGTATAGCGAGTATTACACTAAAGTAATGTTTTTGAGATAATCATGTAAAAACTGACCAAAAACAACACAAACACGAAGTGCTGATGAAACTTTGTGAAAAATGAAAATTCATTCCCAAACTGGTATATCCGATCTATAAATGTACAATTAAAGAGAACGCATGGAGGCAGGTGAATTCCCTGTAATAAATGTGAATATGTAGCACCTCGAAAAGAAGATTTAAAGAAGCACGTGGAAACGTGAAATTGGAAAAATGAATGTGATAAATGTGCGTATTAACTAATTATTTTACAAAATAAATTTCTTTTAATGATTTACTTTTATTTTGCATTATTCATGGTCCAATTTATTGTGTACATATAATTTTTTCAGAACTTAATTTTAGGAAAAAATGAAAGTTACACAGGAAAAAGAAAGATCGAAAAGGAAAAATGTAGAAGTAAAAGTTGTGAAATAATAGGGGTAAGCTTTGTGGAACATTCGGTTTTTAAATGTTCTTAATATTGATTCATTTGATTTGGAATCATTTAAATGTGTAAACCTGAAGACCTGTAGACTGCTGTAGATGAAACATCAGAATTTATGTTTATTTCGGCCTAGCTCAGGGGTAAAGGTATTGAGAGAATATAGAATGAAAATTGGACATCAACTGGCAGCTTTTCAATCTTTTCGGTCTCTATTTTTCACAAAATCTGTTTTTTATTTCCCCTAATTTAGTAAACAAACCCTACACGTCTTGATGGAAAAATGATTTTTAAGAGGGGGAAAATTAAACTTTTCAGAAGTGGGAAAACTGATAATTCAAAAAAATAAATACCCTAAAAGAATGAAAAGTTGTAATTCAAAGTTAAATAGTGCCATGAACCATTCACATTTCACAACACCATCCTTTATAGATAAATATTGTTCGCGTTGAAATCCACGAATATTTTTATAAATGTGGCGGTTAACTTTCTGAAAGAAAAATAAAGATATCTACTGTTTATTATTCTCTATACAAATGTTAAAGGGATACTTTTGTGCGTCGTTAAATTTCATATTTCATATTTTATTCAACTACAAAGCACGAGATAATACAGATAAAAAAAAATCACAATTTACTATGTAGTTTGGACCCGCCTAACCAGAGTAGGTTGTTTTAATTGGTTGGCCCACTATAGACGAATGAGAATTGCAGATAAAAACAATGTACATTGTACATTTTAAACATAAAAATGATGATAAATCAGGAAAATGGTAAGGAGGAGGTGAGGGAGTACAAGGGAAAGGGAGGATACTCAGCGTAAGGGTTGGAACAGAGGGTAACATAAGTTATTAAAATCATGTTTATGAACTACAGGGTGAAGAAGATAGTAAAGACTAAGTTTATCCACATGATATACAGTTTTTTTACAGATACAATTTGCATAACTATCTAGATAGATCTTGGCGACTTTTCTTTTAAACGATTTTGCAGATTTAGTTTCTTTCAGCTCTAATTCAATCGAATTCCATATTTTTGGAAATAGAGCAGAGGGAAAACATTCTAGAGTTTTAAAGAGAACCCGCTCAAGTTTATATGATTTTGTTCTATTTGGTTCAGTTAAAGAATTAAACATATCATGGAAGGAAGCTGAAAGGTTTTCATAAAAGTATTTATGCATAAAAGATAGAACACCTTATAAGGGAAGAGCCGGCTTTAAAGGTTGCGTTGACTGTTTCTTAGCTTCAAAGCTTTTACAATTCTTTTTTTCAAGTCATAGAAAATACATAATTCATTAGAATGTGTTTTATATTTAGACACGATTAAGGAATGAAAGTGATTTAAATTTGAAGAGGAGAAGATAAACGAACAGGAGGATTTAACTATAGAAAAAGAACTTTATATTCGAAAATGGAGAATACTATTTAAGATGGAAAATATTGAGATAAAGGATGAGATTCCATCCTCTACTGTAGAGGATACATGTACTGTAGAGGATACATGTACTGTAGAGGATACATGTACTGTTTTCATAAAGGAAGAATATGTAAAGGTTGAAATTACGGAAAGTCGGGGTAAGGCTTAAATCCATTTTTTAGAAATTCTTTTTCTCAAAGAAAATCCAACAAAATTATTGTTTAAACGAAATCTCCTCTGTTAATCTTCATACAGGGGATACTCTGTTTTCTGGGACAAAGAGAACAAAGAAGAGAAAACGAGAAGAAGGAAGATATCCTTGTGATAAATGTGAATTCATTGCATTGTTTCCAAGTAAGCTAAAGAGTCATATTGAAAGTAAACACGAAGAACCAAGGTATTCATGTGATAAGTGTGAGTACACTTCTGCTACAGTTGGTAATCTAAGAAAACATGTTGAGAGCAAGCATAAAGAAAGGTATAAGATATCCCTGTGATGAAGTAAATATGCTGCAACTCAACTAAATGATCTTAGAAGACACATTGAGCGTAAACACGAAGGAGTAAGCTATTCCTGTAACCAATGTAAATACGCTGCAACTACAGTATGTTCTCTGATAATAAATATGGCGAGTAAACACGAAGGAGTGAGATATCCTTGTGACAAATGTGGGTATGCTGCAACGATACCAGCTCATCTTAAAAGACATATAGAGTGTATACATGAAGGTGTAAGATATCCCTGTAATCACTGTCAGCATTCTGCAACGACTGCAGATCATTTAAAGTAAACATAAGCGACACTAACATTTTATTTATTTTATTTTATTTATACAATTCTAAATTTTGTTATGTAATCAGAGGTGGGGAGGCAGCCCCCCCCCTGATATGTGAAATTTATTGTTTCCGTGGGGTTTTCAGACACCAACGGGTGCAGAGCGCCCCTTCGCAAGAATCCACTCCTCTCATCAATCCATGAATACCCTTTATCGGTAATACTGATACGGTATATCCTATGATACACTTGTCAAACTTTTCTAGAATATTTAAATTAAAATACATAATACGATATTTTTCAGATAGAATGAGAATTAAAGGAGAAATTGAGGATCTAAAAGAAGATGAAGAGTTCGTGCTGAAAGAAGAAAAAGGAAAGGAAGAATCTGAGATGAAAGAAAATATGAAAATCAAGGAAGAAACCGTCACCACCTCTAGTGTAGAGGATACATGTACTGTAGAGGATACATGTACTGTTGAGGATTCATGTACTGTTGAGGATACATGTACTGTTGAGAATACATGTACTGTTGAGAATACATGTACTGTTGAGAATACATGTACTGTTGAGGATACATGTACTGTAGAGGATACATGTACAGCTGAGGATACATGTACTGTTGATGAAACATGTACTGTTGAGGATACATGTACTGTTGATAATACATGTACTGTTGAGAATACATGTACTGTAGAGGAAACTTGTACAGTATATGTACAGGAAGATGTTAAGATGGAAATTTATGAAAGTAAGGCAGCATATTTCTCTATAATTGTCATTCTTCTGAAATTTTTTTATTATTTCTAAGTCGATTTGATTTTCTAGTTGCTTAACTATCTAGTTTTTCAATTTTGAATTCATATTTTTTGTTACTACAGAGTATAGCAATCTAAGATTTAAAGGGCGCTTTACGCTAATTTTTCTAGTAAAAATTTATGCTTTTTTATTTTTCCTTCTACAAAAACTACAATTCCAATATTTCTGTTTTTTGATCTAATTTTTTCTGGCAACATTCTTTATTCTCTCTTTGAGCTTTATGTTGTTTTATGATGTTAATTTTTAAAAATTAAGGTGAAAATATAAACCAGGAGAAGGATCCTTTGCTACCTCCAACAAAAAGAAACAAGAAGAATAAAATTATTAAGCCTAAAGGTTGGAATACTTCTTCATAATAATAATACATTTCTAGGCAGAAACGGGTAATTTCCTATTAAAAGTACCCTTCCCCCCCCACTTGTCGCTCCTTTATTCTCAAAAAGACAAATACCCCCNCCCCCCCTCTTGGAAATCGAAAACTATTATAACTAACACTGCTGTTAATGGACCATGAGGTTTCAAGTCAAAGCACCTAAACTTTATCTTCAGAAGATGTTAATATGCAGTCTATTCCTGAGTTTTAATCTTAATTTTCAGAAAATGCCAACTAGGGAATTTTCAACTAATCCATTTTAAAGATGTCTCAGAAATCAAGTGCGTTTACAGTTTTCAAATCAAACGTAAATTTCGTTTAAAAACTTTAAAATGCTTCTTCTGGGTTTTTTTACAATGTTTTTTGAAATGTTAATGGTAGGATTCCAAATTTTGTAACTCTTTATGAACAGTCAAAAGACGTATTGCGTAGTAAAAAAATTAAGTCCAAAGTCACCTGCCTGACTGACTAGATACGGCCTGAAAAAGTCTTTTTTTACGTGATTTTTAAGGATTTCACTTCAAAAACCCTTGTATAGGCAGTACTTAAACAGTCAATACAGTTCACTTATGGCTTTGAATTTTTGCTAAAACGTGTCTTAATTAGACTGTTATAAGGACAACTTACAAAATTAAAAGACCCTGCGATTAACAGTTCAAAAAATATCGCAAAAAATAACTAGAATCAGCTTAATCAAGTCTTGAAACTAAAGATACATTTGATTTTAGACCAAAAATGCACTTGATTTCTACAATATCTTAAAAATGGATTTACTCAAAATTCCCTAGATGGCATTTCCTGAAAATTGAAATTATAATTCAGTAGACTGTATATTAATATATTCCAAAGGAAAAGTTTAGGTGTTTTGACTTGAAACCTGATGGTCCATTTTCAGCAGTGTGAACTATTAATTTGAGTCTAAAATTCAACTTCCTATTCAAGAGTTTTCTGGTTATCACTGTATTTCATTTATTCAATTATTTAACAATATCTGCTCTGTTCCATTTTGCAATTCTTAAACCAGTTTTTTTAGTTTTTTAAATATATGTATTATATTATAGAAATAAAAAATAATTTGTTTCCAGATATTATTGTTCATTTAAAAAGCTGTGTTGATGACAGTTCAATGATATGAAATTAAGTTATGAAAAAGATTAAAATTAAGCAATGAAAAAGATTGAAATTAAGCAAGAATTTAAAGTACAAAAGTTAGTTTTTCAGACAGAAAGATAAAAAAATTTCTAAGCAGCCCCCCTGCAATTCCCCTGGCTCGTTCACCTCGTTTCCCTCGGTGCGCCCCCCTCCCCCTACAAAAAGACCCAGTTACCCACGGGCCTGTTCCCCCGTCCCATGAAAATTTCATAAGCCGCCTCTTAAAGCGTCAATGACTATCTTAAACTACTGTTGACTATTTTATATGAAAAAAATAAAAGTATTCTTAAGGAGAGAGATATCCTTGTACTGAATGTAAATATAAAGCTACAACATCAAGCCAAATGAAGTTGCACATTAAGACTAAACACAAAAGAATAAGATGTCCTTCTGCCGAATGTGAATATACTGCTGCAACATCAAGCCAACTGAAATTTCACATCAAGAGTATACACGACGGGGTTAGATATTCGTGTGACAAGTGTGAATATCTAGCAACCTCGGAAAGAAATCTAAAGAATCATTTTGAAAGTAAGCATGAAGGGGTTAGATACCCTTGTGATTATTGTGAATACGCTTCCACTTTTGCAAGCGTACTTAAAAAGCACATTGAAATTAAACATGAGGGTGTGAGATATCCATGTGATCAGTGTGAGTATGTTGCAACTACTCCTAGATATCTCAGAAGGCACATTCAAAGTATACACGAGGGAGTGAGATACTCATGTGATGAGTGTGATTTTGTCAGTACTGGAGCTTGGAGTTTAAAAAGGCACATTGAAAAACGTCACATCGGAGTGAAGTATACCTGTGATCAATGCAAATATTCCACAACAACAAATTATATTCTAAAAACACACATAGAGAGTAAACATAAACAAATACTACATTTGTGTGATAAATGTGATCATAAGGCGTCAACTAAGCAAAGTCTAAGGCTACACATAAAGACTAAACATGAAGGAATAAGGTATGCATGTGATCAGTGTGAAATTTCTACAACCACAAAAAAATCGTTAAGCGACCACATAAGAAGTAAGCACGGTGTAAAAATTGTGAAGTTGAAATGCGAATGATTGATCTAATTATCAAGCAGTGTTCGGAATTTATTCCCAAATTGTCAAACTTATCCCGTTATTACAGAGCGTCCCATATCAAATTAGATTATCTCCAATCTTTAACGTCAAACTACGCAAATGATACTCGAAAAATCTAGCATTTTCTGCAAAAAATGTCTATTAGCCTTATTAAATTTTCAAAATAATTAATTCTTCTTAAATTTTCTGACTTGTCCCACAAATCGTAGTTTAGACCCATTGACGCGGTCTAATTTGATGTGGGACACCCTGTACTTAAAATCTTCTACGTGCCATTTTTGCTGAACTGAAGTTCTTCTTATTTGATCTATTCTGTTCAACATTTCAGAAAAGATGGCTGAGAATCCTGAGAACTCACTAAAAGAATTAGACCCGGGTCCGAGTGAGGAGTTTAAACTACCCAAGGAAGAAATATTTGAACCCCTTGATGAAGAGAATGGTCCAGTCTATAAGGAAGAAGAACACACAATGGAGAAATTAGAAATTAAAGGTACACACATGTTGGGTGACTTCTCAGCCGAACTTAGGGAAGTGGTCTACTGAAAACTGTTTTTTTTTTTAAAAATAGAGTTAATCGTAACCAGGATTAACAGAACTAATTCAGTAATATCTATCTAATAGTTGAAACAACCCGCCTCGTATTCCCCCCCCCCCCTTTTTCCTGTCCTCAGGTCTTCTTCGTTCTCAAGCAACCTGGTCTTATAACAAGGAAGAGAAATCACCTTTTTTTGAACGGGGGGGGGGGGTGTGATTTATCTTTAGTAAGACGTCATATGCGATGCGGACAGAAAGTGTGTGAGTTTTGCCTTCCCCCTTCTGGTTAAATTATTAGACTATCTGATTTTCCCGTTTGAATTTATTTCCAACTATTTCTGTCGGACGCAAATTGTTTTTTCCTTTTCTTCTTTCTTTAATATATTTAATATCATTCTTATGTAATGTGCTATGTGCAATGTGTATTTTAAACAGGCGCGCTACTTGACATTCAGCAAGGGGGGGGGGGGCTTTTTTCAGTTTGGGCAATCTTGTGTATGGGAAATCTTAAATCTGTTTTGGAGTCAAATTTTTCATTCAAGGGCATTTTCAAAATATATGAAGAGGCTTTTTTTTTTAATCTAAAGAGGTTATGTTTTTGCTGGGCGCAAAACTTCTTAATTTTGGAGTTTTATCATAAAAAAGTAGGGGCATTTTTTTTTTAGATATGGCTGAAAATTTTAAAGTTGGGTGCATTTATAAAACATTTTGGGATAAAAAAAATTAAATTTAGGTGCTAATTAAAAATATTTGGTGGCATTTAAAAAACTAAGGGTTAAAAATGTTGAAGAAAGGGGCAAATCAAAGTCTGGTGAGGCAATTTGAATAAGAATGTGTGAGTGTAATTTGAAAAACCAAATTCGGTGGCATTTTATTAAGAAAGGGGGCGAAAACAAAAAGAATCTGAGCTTTATTGAAAAATGTTACAGTGAATTTGAGTTTGCTTTAAGAATGAGGGTAGGTTTAAAAAAAAAAATGTGGGGGCATAATTTTTTTTTCGAGAAAATTAGCTATTTTTTGAACTATTCGGACTTCTATAGAGGGGCTTGCGGGGGGCAAGCCTTCCTAAGGATGGGGCTTGCCCCCTCCCTTAATCAGGCTAAGGGGCCTTACCCCCATTGCCCCCCCTATTTTTGCGCCTGAATTTGTGCATGGTGTTCTTTACATTATCTTTCTGTCCTATTATACTGATTAAACTGATGTCCTTTTTTTTAATAAACTCCTTTTCCATTAAGCTCTTGCTGTTTCTTTGTTTTACTCTTCTATTTACCAACTCGTGAATTTTCCACAGCAAAAAAGCAAGGAAACATATTAGTAAATTTTTATTATATTTCATAAATGAATAATTGCTTACTACTTAATTTCTTACAATTATACTTATTATTAGTAATCACATAGCATTTGTTTAAACTAAAGATTATAATGTTTAGATGAAATTAAGTTTTCTGAAGAGAATCCTTCTAAATCTCATGGACAGAGAACTAAAGAGAGGAAACAAATATTCACTTGTCATAGATGTGAATATTCTGCCAGCGCTAAGGGGACTTTGAAAACTCACATTTTGGTTAAACATGAAGGAGTTAGATATCCCTGTAATCTATGTGAATATTCAGCAACCACTACAACAAGTTTAAAAAGACATGTTGAGAGCAAACACGAAAGAGTTAGATATTACTGTGATCTCTGTGAATATAGTGCTTCCTCGAAAATCAGTATAAAAACTCATTATAGCAGTACACACGAAGGAGTAAAATTTCCATGTGACCATTGTGAATATAGCGCTGACACAGCAAGACTGCTATTATTACACATTGAGAGACTACATAAGGGAATAACATATGAATGTGAACAATGTGAGTATACTACGACACATGATAGTAATTTAAAGAGACATATCGAGAGTAAACATGAAGATGTGAGATACTACTGCGATAAATGTGATTACTCGGCTTCCCAAACCAGAAGTCTCAAATCGCATATTGAAAGTATTCACAATGGAGTGAGGCATCCATGTGATAAATGTGAATTTTCTGCAGCTAGTGGAAGAGCCCTGAAAATACATATAGAAAGTAAGCATGAAGGCTTGACATATCCATGTAATAAGTGTGATTTTTTTGCTCTAACGGCAGTAAATCTGAGAGCACACACTAGGAGTAAACATGAAGGTGTGAGATTTTCATGCAATCATTGTAGCTATATTGGAGATGCACAAGGCCAACTAAGATTGCACATTGAGAGTAAACATGAGGGTGTCACTTATCCTTGTGATATGTGTGAGATTATTGCCAGTAGCTCGGGCAGTTTAAAAAGGCATAAAATGACCAAGCATGAAGGTTTGAGATATCCCTGTAAGAGATGTGACTTCACTACAACTACTGTCAGAAATCTAAAGATTCACGTTGAGAGTAAACATGAAGGAGTGAGGTATCCATGTGATAAGTGTGATTTTGTTGCAGCTACACCCTTGAGACTAAAAAAACATAAGCGGTCGAAACACGACGGAATATTGTATCTTTGTGATAAATGTGATCATGCTGCTGCTACATCCAGTGGTTTAAAAACACACATTGAGAGAAAACACGGAGAGTTAAAACATTCTTGTAAAGAGTGCAATTATACTGCTACAAATGAAGGTTACTTAAAACTTCACGTGATGCGTAAACACGGAGGAAAAAAATATTCCTGTGAAGAATGTGACTATGCTGCAACTACTGAAGTGACTCTACAGAGACACATTAAGCGCGAACACAAGGGTGTAAGGTACTTTTGTGATAAATGTGTTTATTCAGGAACTAGAAGTGATTATCTCAACAATCATAAGAAGAAAAAACATGGATGGAGTGAGATAATTTCACAATGATAAATACTAACTGAAGATTTGTAAACGGAAAGAGATTTTATAAATGTTATCATCAATTGTTCAAGTTTGTTAATAACGTTTATAAACGAAAAACATAGAATTAAGTAAAAATCATATTTTTATTATATATTAATATGATATATTATGAATAAAGCGCTTAAATACCTTTAAACCCTATTCTTAGCATAGCTAGGAGGGGGGCATTTGACTTTTCAATAAAGATATACCCCTGTCTTTTTATTTTTCAAACGAAACAAAAAACTCAATTTCACTAGCTTGTTATATACTAAAAAGATGGATTACATTCCAGTTGCTAATCTCTTAATTTTTGTTTTCCATTTTATGTTTTCTTTAATATTTCAGATAAAATGGCGGAACTTTTGAAAAAGGCCGAGTCACCAATAAAAGAAGAGATTGTTCCCACTAAGGAAGAAGTTCTTGTAACCTCTGCTGTGGAAGATATGTTAGCTATTGATGTTCAAGAAAACAAAATCAAATCTGAAAATATAGAAATGAAAGGTAAGGTAGAATGAAAAAGATAAATTAATAACTTTTAGATTCAATTCTAAAAAACTGGAAATGATAGATTTCACTGATCCAAGGGGCTGAGCAGCCCCCTGAATACGTCTTTGAAGAAATCCTGAAATGGAAAGCTACAAATGTAAGCTAAAATTATTTGTGATTTGTTAACATTAATTTTTAATAATTGTATTTTATTTCAGAAGTGTCAATAACTGAAGAGAATGATCCTCTGCTCCCTAAACCTATCTTCTACTGTGATGAGTGTGAATATGTATCGTCAAACAGGTCAAACTTGATGAAACACTTTGTAAGCAAGCAGAACGAAAGTCCTGTTTATCCATGTGATGAGTGTTTATTTGAAGCGGAGACTTTGATAAGTTTAAAGTACCACGAGAAGAGAATTCATAAGAGAATTGGATATCCGTGTGAGAAGTGTGAATATGTTGCCATCTCAGATTATAAACTAAAGCGACACTTGGAGCAGTCGCATCCAGAGCATAAATGTATTCATTGTGACTTTATGGCAGGTACAAGTATAGAACTGAAGCGCCACAAGAAAAGTGAGCATACAGATATAAAAAAAGAATTCCCATGTAGTCAGTGTGATGTTGTCGCGAGTTGCAGAAGGAATCTTAAATATCACTTCGATATCAAACATAGAGGTATAAGATATCAATGCAATCAGTGCGAGTATGCAGCTACTAGAGTTTTAAGTTTAAGACGACATATCGAAAGACAACATGAAAATGAAAAATATTCTTGTGATCAATGTCAATTTTCCGGAAATACAAGAATGAAACTGAGGTTACACATAAAGTTTCAGCATATAGGTTTTAAATATTCCTGTGATCAATGCCAATTTGAGACAAAAAGTACAAGATCTTTAAAAATACACAAGACGGCTATACATCATGAAGGAGTCAAATATCTTTGTGATAAATGTGATTTCGTCGCTACCGTGGCGTCTAAATTAACTTTACACATTCGTGTAAAGCATGAAGATTTCAAGTATTCTTGTGATAAATGTGAGTTTCTCACAACTACTGAAAATAGTCTAAAGATTCATAAAAAGTTTCTACACGAAGGTGTAAGATATAATTGTACCAAGTGCAAACATGTTTCAACCACTATGGACGGTGTTAAGAGTCATATGAAATTATGCCACGAGGGGGTGAGATATCCCTGTAACAAGTGTGAATATACTGGATCAACAACAGAAAAATTAAAGAGACATATTACGTGGAAACACGAAGGAAAGAGATATCCCTGTGTTTTATGTGATGATTATAACGGCACTAGAATCAGCTCTCTAAAACGACACATTGAAACTGTTCACAAAAAGGGCAAATTTCCCTGTTATTTATGTGGCGAGGCTACACCCTCAGTTGTACAACTAAGGAAGCACATTATAACCAAACATGAAGGAGAAAGGTTTCCCTGTGTTAAATGTGAGTTTTCAGCTAAGTCTGTTAGAAGTTTAAAGGAACATGTAGAGAATAATCACCAAACATAATTAAATTAAATGTCCAATGTCCTTAATGCAATATTAGATTCTTTTATTGCCTTATTGTAAACAAGTGCCTTTATTAGAAATAGAAATAGGTTTAAATATATGTCTTAAGGAGCGGGGGGAAGGCAGGCGGCAATAAGCCACAACATTTTCCCCTTCCATGCCACATATCATCTTTTTTTGTCTACCGGAAGCCATGAGCCACAACCGTACGGTATTCCATGCCACTGCATGGGAGTCTTCCTGGAGTTATTACGTTTGGTAAATTTAGGAAATTGCAATTACGATTTTTAACAACACTGCCGCATTACGCTAGAGATCAAATTATTCTAAAGAAGAAGAAAAAAATGAGAAAAAACACAATATTAGCTGTCATTGCCGAATGCTGAAAGATAGTAGCAGCATATTTCTCTCGGAGAAGACTGGAGTAAAAAATGTTCACGCAACTTCCCGCCGGATCTGAGGCGAAAAAAAAATATGCAACCTTCCCTTTTCTCCTGATTATACTTAGACCTTTTAACTATTTAATGCCAATACTGTGAGGAATTATTCCCCCCCCCCCTATAAGTTGCAGAAAATACTGGAATCAGGGGCGGATACAGGATTAAGAAAGGGGGGGCAAGATTTTTTAGGAACGTAAAAAAATTCATAATTAGGAACAAAAAATCGCGCTGCAGGCGAAAATTTTTTTTAACTTAAAAAACTCAAAAAGAGTCCAAATTAATGGCTAAAGACTAAAAAACTAGATTTTTAACTTTTCACACATTATAGTTTATTAAGACAGATTTTTTCCTGTTTTGCACAAGGGTTTCTTTCCCTTAAGCATGCTATTGAGAAGCTATTCTGAAAATAGGAACAAAAATTCCAAATTCAGGGGGGGCTACGCCCCTCCCTGAATCTGTCAGGGTGTGGCGAATGTCCCCCGCCCCCCCCCCCAGTATCCGCCCCTGACTGGAATTACTTCCCTATTTTGCAAATAAACGATCAGTATTCATATACGAAAAAAATGAGTAACATTTTCTACAGAGACCCTCAAGTTTTCATTGGAGACACCAAGTAAAAAATTTAAATTTGTTTGATAATGTTTAATGCACATATGCACTTTTTGGTATAAAACAAATATACTTGTATCATAAACAAACTGTGGAACAAATTGTAGAAGGCGCTGTTATAAGTACTCATATTACATTTAATAATGATTTTATACCTTTTTTACAAGAAATCTAAAAAATTGAAAGGTTAAAAACTTCCAAGTTATAAAAAATCCCCCCCCCCCTTCCCCTCCAAGAATACTCCGGTGGGAGGTTGCGTAAATATTTTTTACTCCGGTCTTCTCCGATAAACCGGAGGGAAAGAAATATGCCGCTACTATTTTCCATAATTCGTCATTAACTAAGCAATACAGATTTCCTCAAAAAAAAAATTCAATTTTGCAATTTTCTCGTTAAATAGTGTACATTTTCGGTTATGGGCGCTCTTTGAGCTTTAAGTGGCATGTCGGATTCACAACGGTACCCTCTATCTGATCAAGAATGAATGAGATTTCTTTGTTTTTCTTTCTGAATACTTTTCAATTGTGGTTTTCAGAAGTTTTCAGAAATAAGTTTAATGACATAAAATGTTCGTTGTAACAGAAATCCTTTAAACAAACAAAAAGATGTTTCCATCCACTAATCAAAGTTTAATAGATATGAAATGTTTTTTTTATGAAGGAAAAAAAATTGATTGAAAACGTTCTCAAGATTATAATGAAAAAATTTCTATATTTCTATATTAAAATTACTAAAATATCTAAACGCAAAATTCTTATTGTTTGTAACCTAGTGCCTTTTATAGAAATATTTTAGTTATAGTTCTATTTTAATGCAACTTTTTGTTAAGGGTTTTTAAACCGATCTTACGTTTTTTTTTCGCTGCAATCTGTGGAAAATAAATGCTGATAATGTTTTTTTTATGTTAGTGGCACATTTGATAACTTATCTAAAAATATTGATAAAAGGAGAAGGAGGGGAATGGGGGGGAGGGATGTTCTACATATGTGTACATAACATTATGCACATAAAAATTATTTTTAAAAAGTTACGATATATATGATAAATTGTTAAGATTGATATTTTTGTATTATCACATTTTATTATAATAATAAATAATTAAATTTTATGGAATCATTTTTACCTTTAAATTTACCATAATCAATGCCTTTCATATGATTTGCTGAGGTTTTTTCAAACTACTCATACTTTGGTAGTTTTTAAAAAAAAAATTCATTATAAATCTAGTATATGTTTATATTCTTTTACTACAGACAATTCAATATTCATGAAGTATTAAATAAATTATTTCAAACACTTTAAAAGTATAGTTTACAGGTTTTAAATATGGAAAATTGCATGTTCCTATCAATGATTTGTCGCATTCTTAAAATTTAAGAACTTAAAAACCTTAAATATTTTCCTTGCTTAAATTTTTGTTTCGATTAAAGATCTTTTTGTTATTTTATTTTTATAATTCATCATGATATAAATCAGGATTGTTATCATTTGTATCTTCTTCTAGATCATTTGTATCTTCCAGATAATTTGTATCTTCTTCTAGATCATTTGTATCTTCCAGATCATTTGTATCTTCTTCTAGATCATTTGTATCTTCCAGATCATTTGTATCTTCTGCTAGATCATTTGTATCTTCCAGATCATTTATATCTTCTGCTAGATCATTTGTATCTTCCAGATCATTTGTATCTTCTACTAGATCATTTGTGTCTTCTTCTAGATCATTTATATCTTTTTCTAGATCATTGATGTTGTCTTCTTTTAGTTCATTGTTTTCTTCTTCTAGATCATTGTTTTCTTCACTGCCGTATTTGTTCCATATCTCTAGAAACCAATTTGCCACTAAAGATTTATCCTCAGTTTCGTACCCATAGTCAACAGTCAGCTAAACAAATCATTTTATGGATAGGGTTTCAAAGAAAAAAGGGAAAAATGATTCATAAACCTATTTTAAGTTGGATTTTTAATACCTAAGCAAATTTTCCACCTATGCACCAAATTGAGTTTTGAACTAAACCCCCCTGAGTTTTGAACTACACCTCCCTGAGTTTTTAATTACACCCCCTGAGTTTTGAACTACACCCCCTGAGTTTTAAACTACACCCCCCTGAGTTTTGAACTACACCCCCCTGAGTTTTGAACTATACCCCAATGAGTTTTGAACTACACCCCACTGAGTTTTGAACTACACCCCCCTGAGTTTTGAACTACACCCCCCTGAGTTTTGAACTACATCTCCCTGAGTTTTGAACTACACCTCCCTGAGTTTTAAACTACATCACCTGAGTTTTAAACTACATTACCTGAGTTTTAAACTACACTCCCTGAGTTTAAGACTACATCTCATGAGTTATGAACTACACTCCCTGAGTTTTAAACTACATTACCTGAGTTTTAAACTACATTACCTGAGTTTTAAACTACACTCCCAGAGTTTAAGACTACATCTCATGAGTTTTGAACATAAACACTGATAAGTTTTGAATTACATTTCCCTGAGTTTTGAGCTTATACAGTCCACCCTCTTTAGGTTTAATCTACACCCCCCGCCCCCTTCTTGAGTTTTGTAATACGCTGCCTGATTTTTTAACTAAAAAAGGCCCCCCCAGTTTCATGAAACATGTTACCTCCTGATTAGCTGGTATATCCTTGATTGCTATTAAGGACATGATTACTCCTAGAACAGGATGAACTGAGAACAGCATGAATTCTGTTGATAGTTTAAAACTATGGTTAACCTTGTGTCCCAGTGTGGCATTATATCTAAAAAGTATAAACAAGTAAAACTTTTAATAGGTCTTTGAACGTATTAAATACAGGGTTACCTTACAAGAATGTGATTGTAAAGACAACCCAAAACTCGAAAAATTTGACTATTTCAAGCTTGGCTTTGGTTTTTGCATTCAATTGAGTTGTTGATGGTTTACTAAATGAACAAGGAGAAATAAGCCAAAAGAACCCTGAATGCAAGAAAACGAACCAAACAATTTCCGTACAATCGTCTTCATTGTGGGTAACCGAAAATTGTATAAAACGAACAAAGGAAGTTACAAAAAGATTTGATGGAAAAGATACAATTAAGATTCTTCTCCTTTTAATTTTTGTTGAACATAAAGAAGTTTTATTCCACTTAAAACTAAAAATGTCGGGGTTTTCTTCTTGACAAAATGTATGAAGGGAAATGAATTTTAATTTTTCCTCCTCAAGTATAGTAATACTAGGCTTTTAGTCTGGAGACCCTTATTCCCCGTCTCTTGAGACACCTAGTATACTTTGTGTAAACTTTCAACGTTTTCACCTAACATTTTTTAAAAATAATGAATAAAGTTGTTTTTCATTAAACCTGTTTATATCATTTCCAAGCTCAAAGGGTAGATCAATGCAAAGTTGATGCTCACGTTCAATATCTAGTTCTATGTAATACATATCTCTTATAAGGGACTCCTCAGCACTCAGCACCCGTCTAAAATATATATAAACAATACAACATAGGTTAAATGTATCCTGTGCTGAAAACTTTGAATTTTTGATGTTGAGATCAATGCCTGATCTTCTCTTTTTATTAAGCTCAAGATTAATTTAATCTTTAGTTTCTATTCTGAAAAGTGTTTATAGATTTAATATATTTTCAGAACCGTTATAACCAAAATAGTTCTTAATTTCAAAAGCTTATATTCATATTACTCTTTTAATGATACATAATACATCAATATAAAAACAGTTTATAATTTTATTTTTATTTTATCTTTTCTTGAAAATATATTAAGTTGTAAATACCTGTCCAATCCTCTAGGGTACATATTACAATTAATAATATATCCACTATAAAATGCAACAACTTCTCCTAAATTCATTTGTAATTACTTTTTTTTCAAAGTGACCATTTTATGAGTCGAGTGGTATGTCCTATTCACAACAGCAGCCTTAAAATCGTCATATGATCAAGAACTTAAAAACTTAAAAATCTGATTATTTTTAACTGCATTTATCTTTTATTAAAATATACTTGCGATTTTTTTTACAGAAACAATTGGAAAAGGAAAAAACTAATTGACGACACATTCCATATAACTGAGATGGAATTTAAAGAATTTGAGCCGCGGTTTAAATCTGCCAAAAACCGGTTTAAATTAAGCGCCGGCTTAAATCTTGAAACATTTGATACAATTTTAAGTGGCACCAACCATATTTAAGCCGCGTCCTAAATTTAAACTGCCGCTCAAATTCTTTAAATTCGGCCTCTGATCAGATAAAGGTTCCAGGGGGTAACATTGTTAACTGGACATTCCTCTCTTTGTATGAAGGCTCACTCAAATTATGTTTTACGTTAAAAAATATTGCAACAATTGATAAAAATATTACAAATTAAATTAAGAATGCTTTTAACTTTTGCGAGCAAAGAAAATAAAACCGAAAAATTTATCTTAGCTTTGCATTTTCGTTTTTCCATGGAAATTTAGCGGAACAATCTACAACCGGCTTCCATCATAATTAATAAAAAAATTTAACTTGATAAGTTGCGCCATTATAAGTGAAATACCCAAAATTTCAAGAACACATTTTTTAGAACATGGAACATGAATGTCATGTTAATAACTTGTATAATGTTATAATGAAACCAGATTTGTTAAAGAAAGGTTAATGGTTACAATCAGGGAAGTTTTATATTGGAAAATAAAAGATGAGAAAGGAATTGAGTCTTTCCCACAAACGCTGATTTTCTAATCCTTATATATTATATCTTTGCAACTCAATGTCTTGGACCTTAGATATTTCAATCTATGAATTCTGTCAGATCAAATATTCTAAGTTAGAAATATCAAAGGTTTACACCATCAGGTTGCAAAGATGGATTAGAATATTAGAAATTGTGGCAAAAACTCAGTTCCTTTGACATATGGAAAATAAAGAGATGACAAATCGAGGTGCCGTAAATAAGAAAATATATGATGAATTGTGGTTCGGTTTCTGCACCCCTCTCCTCTCTACCTGAAATAATATCTCTCGTAGTAAAAAGTCCGTTCTCCGCTCCTTCTATTTTACTCCTCCGAACCTCTACTGTACTCAACTCAAAGGGATCACTCTGCACTGCATTCAATCCCAAACTAGAATATTTAGACGAAGAATTAAAATAAAATCTCGTCGGTGTTTCCCTTTTGGGAGGGGCGGGGAAGGTTCGATTCTTTGGGTTTTAAAAACCATGGGTTACAGTTAGTTTCCCAGAATATAAAATTGCGGTTAATGATTTAAAAGAAATTCATTCAAAACGTAAGTTTAACCCATACAAATAAAAAACTGTTTTTTTTTTCTGAAATGTGCAGTGGACCCCCATCCTTCTAGACAGATACCCCCCTCCCGTGACTTTCTATCTGTCTTAACCTAACCTAAATAGCATAATCACAATGGTTGCTTTTTTTCAGAATAAGGGGGTCATGAAGATTAGGATCCAAAAACTGAAAGTTCTCCTGCCTGAAATGTGAAGGAGGAGAGTATGTAAGATTAGGTCCGGACAAATCCCCAAACTCAAGAGACCAGGATTCTCCAGATCTACAAGCCTTTACCAGTTTTGTAGCTTGTCCCTTTAAAATGATATATTTCTTCTTGATTTTGTGGATAAATATCTTACATTAATATCATTAGATCGAGGATAAATTATTTTGTGTACTGCCCTGTTAAGTCTTCTAAAGTCTTTATATGTATAACTGTATAATTCATACAACTTGTTCTAGTGGCCTAAAAATCAGTCCGGTGCTTTAAATGAGCCGGAGTTTTTTAGTAATTTACCAGAGCTGAAAACTTTAGAATGATATATCCTTAATTCCGATCGGTTAATTAATCTGGAGATTAATAACAAGAGGAGAACAAGCATTATTTAATCTCGAGATAAAGAAAAAGAGTGGATCAAGCATTAATCCCGATATCCACCATTCAAAAGTTCCCAGCTCAGGAAAATGTATAAAAATCAGCTGAGAGCTGGGGCCGAATTTAATGAATTGGGGACTAGGGAGGTCGCTGAACTACTTTCCACCGGTTCAAATCCTGAACCACTGCTTCAAATCCTCATAAATCGTTGATTTTGAATCGGTGATTCAGGATTTGAACCAGCGCTAAACAATTCACCATCTATTAAATATTGACCTGGAGAAGAACATGATCCTCCCAAAGTCCAAGAACAGCAGTTGAGAAGTCAGGATAAAGATATGCACCAACTCTTGGTTCTCCCAAATCATCCGACTCATAATAAAACGCACCTTGAAAACCATCATCTGCTAGATACCAGTATGGTCCTCCTTCTTTCCTTAATTTTCAATTCATTTACAGGGTTACCCACAAGTAAGAGACTGTAAAGACGACATGAAATTCTTCAAATATAACATTCCCAACTACTCAAGTTTAAATTAAGTCTTCAGCCTTGAATGAGGTCTTTAAATGGCTTATTTGAGTATTTGTCAAAGGAAGAAGCAAAACTGCAGATTAGTATTAAAATTTATTTTGTTTAGCAAAAAGACCCAGAAATATTGATCACCTAATCAGAGCAAGCTCTAATTCAAAGAAATTAATTGTCTGAGTCTCGATTCCGAAATCTTCTGTTTCTACCCACAGTCTGAGATTGGTTGATGCCATGGGTTCGGAGTAACATTCTTCTGTACTGAATCAGGCATAATTTGATACCAAAGAGAATAATAAACGATATGACGTGGCAATCATATTTTAATAAAATTGATTTCAAAGTGAAATATATCTGAGTTGAAGAATTTCACCATGTCCTGTTATTCTGGGACACCCTTTATATTTTGTTCGTACATGTCTGTACATACAATACAGGGTTAGTCAAAACAAAGTATTGTTTTTAAGCATAAAGTTTCAAAGAAATTCCCGACAATCTCTCTGAAGGGTCTGTTGACGTAATTTCAAATAACCCTCCATCGGGCATTTAAAATGTCCAATTCACAACGGTACACTGGAAAATTAATGTGATTTCCATTTTTTTTACTTTGAAAATTAATTATTTACAATTGTGGGTTTTCTATAAAAAGGCCCTTTAAAATTACAACGACAGTCTTCTTAAAAAGAATGTTTATGCCTATAATCCTACTCTGGTGACGTTGTTGAGCTCCTGATGAGAGTACAGAAGCTCAGGAACAGTTTAAAACTCTTCATCTTGAAGTACTAAGCAAGATTAGAGAGAGGCCTGGGCTTTACACAAGTGTATTATCTAGGCCATTGAAGTTTAATTGCGCTTACTTTTAATTGCAAAATCTGCAAGATGTAAAAATAAAACTTTTTTTTATAGTTTTTGGAAATTCAGAGTGTCTCAATAAATATGACAGGGAAAAGACGACTGAAAGGTCTTCTTACCTTTGATTATAATTTGCGGTATTTATTTTTCAACCTAATTATTTTACGTTAAGTAAAGGGTTTTTATATAAACTACTTGTTTAAGTATGATACTTGAATCATTAAACACTAATCTTATATTAAACTCTCTAGTCCTGGCATTTCCTAAATAAATTATACCCTGCTTCTTACGTTTTCAAAATTACCAAAGATAGAACTAATTACGTTTTTCATATTCATATTTTTATTCAAGTACAAATTGCACGAGATAATACAAATAAAAAATCACAATTTACTATGTAGTTTGGCCCCGTCTAACCAGAGTAGGTTGTTTTAATTGGTTGGCCCACTATAAACGAATGAGAATTGCAGATAAAAACAATGTACATTGTACATTTTAAACATAAGAATGATGATAACTCAGGAAAAAGGTAAGGAGGAGGTGAGATGGTATAAGGGAAAGGAGGATACTCAGCGTAAGGGTTGGATCAGAGGGTAACATAAGTTATTAAAGTCATGTTTATGAAATACAGGGTGAAGAAGATAGTAAAGACTAAGTTTATCCACATGATACACAGTTGTTTTTTTTACAGATATAATTTGCATAACTATCTAAATAGATCTTGGCGACTTTTCTTTTAAACGATTTTGCAGATTTAGTTTCTTTCAGCTCTAGTTCAGATTTATTTAATAAAGACGAAGATGTTTTGTTACCAACTTATTTTGAAATTTTAATCTGTAGGATTATCCAGAAAGGATGATATTTTAGAGGTGACTGAACATGATTTAATGAGTTTTTTCACTTTATAGAAGAATCTTTGTGAGTAACCCTGTCTTTACAGAAGGCATCATATTGTGGAAAGTAAAACAGTCGTGTCAACCTTTTCTTGATAGTGATACACATTTTGTCATTAGATAGCAAGAAAATATCAAAGACAGTCTGTTAGTCGTTTCTTAACTTTCATGCTTAGTGGGTATTTCTGTACTGAGACGTTTTTTCGACAACATAACTTTTTCTGATAGTTTTTTATTCCCTTCTCTGTTAAATTTAAATTTGGTTCCTTATTCATGCTTCAATATATTAATTAATTGGCTATTCATTATTAATTACACTGTAGATATGTAAAGAAACGCCATCTGTCATGCTTACAACCGAATAAAATTTAATCATAGTTCTAAACCTTCGAATATTTTTTTTCTTAATGATAGAATTAAAATTAACAAGTTAATGGGGATATATTTAGTTGGAACAGAGTCTAAAACTAAAGAATGCGCGAATTTTAAGTTCGAGGTTAAAAGTTCTGTAAAATAATGAATAGCTACTTAAATATTAAACTTTCTCAATTTTGAATTTGAATTTCCCGGGAAAAATCTGAACCAATCAGAGAAAAGGATTTATGGAGAATATTACATAACCATCGCTAATCAGCTGTTCTTACGTAACCGAAAACTGCAGCTGAATGATGATTGAATAATAGACAAATAGGGAAAATGCAGGATTTCAAGATTTTAAACCTGTGTTTAAATTTTAACTCGTCGATTTCGGCGAGTTAAATATTTAACCACAGGGTTAAATGTTTAACCTCACGGTTAAAGTTCAGGTTTAAATTAAGTCAGAAGTGGCATTTAACCTTGAACAATTTAAGTCAAAACTTCTCGTTCTTTAGTTTTAGACTCTGGATTAAATCGTTTACTTTTTTCGTTAATTTTTTTTTATCGAGAAACTCTAGGATGGCCATTCTAGGTAATATTGTCAGGGTTGAGTTAAAATATAAATCAAAAGGTTAAAATATCAAATATATTAAGTTAGTTATAAGCTGAAAAATCATCAATCTGCTGAACAATCATAAATCTGCTGAACAATCATCAATCTGCTGAACAATCATCAATCTGCTCAATAATTCTCAATCTGCTGAACAATCATCAATCTGCTGAACAGTCATCAATCTGCTGAACAATCATCAATCTGCTGAACAATCATCAATCTGCTCAATAATTCTCAATCTGCTGAACAATCATCAATCTGCTGAACAGTCATCAATCTGCTGAACAATCATCAATCTGCTGAACAATCATCAATCTGCTGAACAGTCCATGAGATTATTTCAAGGATTTAAGGGGGAAGAAATGCTTAAGCAGCCAAACATTCCAGAAGAAATTCCCAGTTGAAGCAATTTTCAAAGTGTCTTCTAATATATATAAAATCAAACAGATCATTATGAATATCTTATAATGTGTTTAAGAAACTAAATTATCAGTAAAATAACCCTCGTTTTCTAGATTTTCTTGAAAATTATAATAATTGGACAATTTTGTTCTAAAAAAGGAATAAAAATCAATATTTAATGAAGATTTATCAGCTTATTGATAATTATTGTAGATCAATATTTTTGTCTTAAATATGAACATATACATATTTCTCTGCAGTGGTAAACTTCCTTTTTGCTCTTCTTGCCCTACCAAATCATAAAATTTCCCTTGAAAATTCTTTACAGTATATTTTTGGATGACCCGTATTTAACTGTCAATTCCATTTATAGCTCTAAACTGAAAAAAAACTCAATGGTCAGAAATAATGTGAAAATCTCCAATGAAAATTTTATGAAATCGTTGAATAATGTTTTAAAAAATCCCGTTTTTCTTTATTACGTTTTTTTTTAAATTTTTATTTTGTTACTACATAGGAATTAGACCATCCTGAAAGTAGCGAGGCTCTGACCCTATTGTCCAATAAACGGTTTTACACGGAATTATATAGAGTACGTATTAGCTATAAAAACTGACGGAGTTGTCTTTGATAAACTTTTCATTTTAAATGCATTAACTAACAAAAAAGTATAAAATGGTAAACGGGAAAAGATATGGTTAATATATATTATATGATATATATGTCATTTGTGATCGCGCGCAATCTTGTTTCAGTTGAAGTACACATTTCCCTTTGTTTAGCCAAAGTGAATAAATAATCACTTTGCTGTTTAGTCATAGAGAATAGAATATATATTTGAGGGGAATTTACTAGAAAAAAGTGTAAAACGGCCATTTTGTTGTACTGTTTCCATACTGCAGGTGTACTTCACATATTTATGCTTATAACCTGTTGGGCCCTGGAATATCATTTTATAGAAAATGAATAGTCTAGGGAACATACTGTATTAATGTACCCTACTGCATATAATTTGTGAACATTTACATGATTTGTACACTTTGAACTCCCTTTCAGACTGAAAGGGACTGAAAAAATTCATACCGAGAGATTCTTTAAATTCCCCTCTAATATATATTCTATTCTCTATTTGTTTAGTGTAGGATTCATCTCTATAATTGGACGATAAATAGATCGATAGATGTTACCGCCGTTACAGTTTCTATTGGTTCTGTATCGTCACAAAAGCACGCGACTGAACCCTGATTGGATCAGACGCTACCGGAAACTTGAAACAAGGATGATTGGCAAGGACCGAACAGTTAAATCAGCGTGAGATTTTTTGTACAATTGAATTATCTTACCCTTAAACATGCCTAGGGAGAAATGGAAGCCTAGCACTTATATTTATTTTGAAATTACATCATATAATACGTCCATGGAGCATTAACAAAATTAAGTAAAATAACCATTGAATATGCAAAAATTCTTCACTGCTGGGAACTAAAACCATTTTCTCTTAAGGAAAAGTTGTATTATTCTTTTGGCTGTTGGAGTGGAGACCTCAGAGCTTAGATGAATCGTTTTTCTAGAGTTGTTAATATGTTTACCCATGAGAGAAGAGGCCACTCTGAGAAGATTCCTTCGCGAGAAAACATCATTTAATTAAGAAAAATTAAATTTCAAGAAATGAATTTTTCTAACAATCAATCTCTTGAAAGTAGGCTGGTCAATGTAAACAACTCCCCAAATGTTGGATTTCTTAATCCAAACTTTATAGTTTTCATCTATATGTTAGTTATACTTCTTATATCAAACTTGAGCGCCGCAGCCATCCGAGGTTACAGGAGATCCTTAACCTACCTTCGCATTAACATCATCCTTATCCTCAACTACTACCTTGTCGAGACCTTCAACACCTGCGCCTCTATTACGGTAAAATAGAGATATCTTAAAGGGACTGTAAGCGTAATTTTTATTAACCCTCCATGCAAAGATGGCAATGCCCGAATTTACAACGGTAGCCTTGAATCCTTAATCTGATAAAAAATGTCGAAGAAACCGTCGTTTTTCTGACTCAAAAAGTTTTTATGTCTGTAAATTCTCCATTGCTTTTTATAAGCAAGAAATCCGCAAGTCACTTTAACACAGAGACCGCAATTGTAAATAAAAATTTAAAACATTGTTATTTAATTCATATTTGATAAGACAAAGCTTTTAAGGGTACTGTTAAATGTTATAAACCGGAAATTGCTATTTCTTAGCATGGAGGGTCACTTTAAATTACACTTACAGTCCCTTTAATTATAAGACATAATCATTTCTTTTCAAGAAATAGATCTTACAAACACTAGAAATAATCATTTAATCTTACTTTTTCTTGCTTCACCATGTTAACACATTATACTGAAGTGAACCTAAAGTGCTAACAGAATATATATAAAATTTTTACTTTGATTTTGAATTCGTGCAATTGTTAGGACATGAATCTGTTAATTACTTATTCTCTTCTCTCCATTTTTCAGGGGGATATTTGAGTCCTTTATGCAGTGAGAACAAAATTTATGGAATAAAAGGACGACATTAAGCAATAATTAAAGCTATTTAATGTTGTTATATAGCTAATCATTTCACTTTAGTAACTTTGTAAGTGAAATGGGCCTGTTCACATTCTGCACTATATTCTTCATTTTCTCCAATTTTAAGTTTCTAACTGTATTG